TCAATTTAAGCTACTAATCCTTTAATCCACCTCCACGACTCCAAACCTCCAACCATACCACAAAAAACTGAAGGATCAAGATAGAGAATAAATGCTACCTTGCAAAAATCTAAGAATGGAGAGAGTAAAATAAAACTTGAGTGCAGTGGAGAGGAGGAGAGGAGAGGACTTAGACCTAGATGAATATTAAGCTTTAGAACTTGCATTTCGGCCTCGAGATGAAAACCACTAAGAAGACCTCTGCTGGCCACAGAGGGCTAGAGGAGAGAAGAGGGCTCAGGACCGGCAAGAGAAGTTAGAGACTCAGATATTGAGACCGGAGAGAGTGCGAGGGACGAGATTGTGAGACAACAAGGGTGTGAGAGGAAGACAAAGCAAAACCACTAAGGAGAAGATGAGAGCTTAGTCGGACTGAGTGGCTTAGATCAAATAGGGACAGAGTTTAGGGGAGTTTACAGTTAGGATCATTTAAATCGAGCCAATTCTAGCCGCCATGATCAAACACAAGTTTGTTTGTGTTCGGCTTGTTTTGTATTTCAAACAAGAAAAAGTTGTTCTTGTTCGGCTTGCTAGCTTAACTAATGAACAAAACACGAGCAAGATTGCAAGCTAAACACGAGCTGTTCTCGAACGACAAACTTTTGTGACAGCGCTAGGGATGGTCAAGCACTTGATAGTGTAGACAAGCAAAATGTCAGCATACATTGACGGGTTTATTTTGACTGAATTTTCACATGTTCGTTAGTACAAGTGATGTTTTTAAAGAACTATCATCTATTTCTTGTGCATGTTGCACTCCCAGTTATTTTTTTGTGCTACGGGTAATTAGAGCTTTTTGCTAGGAGTACTTGTTGTGCTCCTTGTCACTAAAGTTGATGTATTTCTTCTTAAATCAACAATTGAGGAAATTAATGTATGTGGTTTTCCACCATTCCTCGGTTTTTAGATGGATGATCTGGTTGTGGTCGTTAAGGAATACTGAGAGCAACAAGTTGAAGAAAGGTTGGTTGGTTTCAATTAGACCCTCCAATCTGAATAGGGAGGTGGATGATAGGAAAAATCTGACTAGCTAAAGGATTTTTTCACACAAATAAAGAGGTAAGTTTTTCACTTGCTCCTCGAGGATCATTTACAATAGGGGCTTAAGATGGTAGCTACAAAGGATACAACAACAACAACAAAGTCTTTATCCCACTAAATGGGGTCGGCAGAGCTACAAATGTTGATGAAAAAAGAAAAAAAAACATTGTCCTTGAGGTCATGACCCTCATTCAAGAAGTTGTGGAAGTTTCCTGCCAATTCTTTTGATCAACGGGATGAAAGAGATGATGAATATGAAAACAACCTTCATATGCCACATCAGATCGTGGTAGCTAAAACTATGTCATCATCTTGGTTGTTGGATTCCTTCCACTTACCCCCTAAGCACATGCAGCGGGAGCTCCATCACCCCACTAATAGAAGTGTGGATTGATGTAGAGGCGGGTCTTCCATTATCGCTCATGTGCTCATCATCTGTCACTTCGATAAGGTGTTTAGTTTTGGGCCCGTCTATTGTCCACGTTCTTGCGTGACATTGAAGTGCAATGTGGAGTTCTTGGCAATAGCTACTCAGTTCAAATTTGATATTCTTGACACGACAATGAACAGGGTCATGCAACTAAGGGCATGAATGTGTGCTTGTAACAAAAATAATATTTATTTTATTATTCTTATTTTAAATTTAAGACCCCCACCTTTTTAATGTCTACTTGCTCTGCATGGAAGAGGAAGGCTATATATATATATATATCTATGTGATCTATGTGTGTGTGTGTGTTAGATATATTGCATCTTGAATTGCTCTTGAAGAGGCACAGCCATCAACAAAAAATTCATTGTGAGGATCATGTTTGGAGCTTCTTCTAGATGCTTTTGATGCGTCCTTCATGTGAGCTCTTATGTGGGACAACCTGCCTCACCTTAACATTTTTTTTAATTAAACCCACTCACATGTGCCTCCCATTTTTCTCTTTAGACCTCTTTCTTCCGTCTCTCCCTTTGCCCTGATACCTCTCTCATCACGCGACATGAACTTGCAAGAAAGAATAGAAAGTGGGAGGGAGACTGAGCTTCTTGAGTGCAACTCATTTGTCATTTTAATGGAATAGGAAGAAATTTGTGTATATTTTGTGTTATTTTGTGAATAAAATACATTTGTATAAATGCCTCAAATTATTTTTGTTGCCATGGTGGGGTAAATTTCATAGGTCGTGATACCCCATGCATTGCACCTAAGATCTCTTTATTGGCGTGTGAGGGTGATGTACTTTTGTTATCCATCATAGTGGTGACTCAAAAGCACTATCAAAATTTGTCAAAAATTTTGTTTAGGAAAAAAGGGGAATCTTACTTTATAGAATTTTCTTCCTTGTACTTTTTTTCAGTAAATTGCTAGACAAATATAGACATTCTTGTCAAAAACAAAATATGCATCCTTTTTTTAAAACTCCCAATTGTGTTACATATGCTTGGGTTCGGTGCTTTATTATTTTGCAGTAGGTTGACTTCCCTTATAGAATAGTAGAGATGTGGGAAAGACGGTGAAACACAATCTTCAATGCATGTTTGTTAAGAAACAATGAAGAAATGCATCATAAACCAAATAAAAAAATATATTATTTCATGAACTTCTAGGAGCTTATTGCCAATTGAAACATAAGTACAAGTGAACATGCGGATGTAAGCTTGCAATGTACCAATTTCTGTAATATTTTTCAATATCTAAAGATTTATATAGAGCTTGATGTAATGTATTTAGAGTTTTGTACCTTAATTCATCCCTAATCTCTCATCTGTGACTTATAATGAAAAAGATAAAATGATAAAATAATGATGTATAGAGAAATGATATTCATTTCAAGATTTATAATTGTTGCATAATATATTCAAATACATAATAATTACCTTGTTAACAATTCTTAAATTAATCATGCAATTGATACTCAAAACCACTGTGACAAATATTATTCTTTTAGTTTATATTTCATTTTAGAGTCTATTGATTTATTGAGTATATTTCTCTAAATTGATTAACATATCATGCTATTTTTTATTTAGCATATTCAGCTATTTGAAATTCAATCATATTGTCTCTTTCAAAAATTCTTTCTAGGACATCCATCTTATTTGAAAATTTCATAAGGTTTTACTCCCCGTTGAATGTAATTAGCCGAGTCAAATCGAGTATGTCATGGTTTGGACTTGGCTTGGTCGAATCATGAGTTGTTCATGTTCAGTTTGAGCTTGAGACGAGCTCCATAAATATATTTATACTTGACTTGCTTAAAATTTTTAGTATTCATATACTTTGGCTTGTTTATATTAATTAAAAAGTTAAAAATTCATATGAGTACTTAATTTTTCATGAAATTTAAACATTTGATTTGTACAAAATTTTTAAATAAAATTAGTAAATAAGTTAAAAATTTAAATGAGAATATGATTTTTTATATAAAATTATTAACAAATGATCTTACTAATCTAAATAAATAAGCAATTGAATATATTTCAAATTAGAATTTACTAGTTAATACTAATTAAATAAAATAATATATAAGTTATATAAGTTTTTTTTTTTTGCTATCAAAAAACATAAATAAGTACTAATAAATTAGTTCATTGAAATAAAAAATAAAAATTTTTATGAATTTATGTGTATATTAATATTAAATTATAATATTTTACTATTAAATATATTATTAAATATGTTCTAATTAACTAAATTTTATTTAAATAATATATCGTATATAGGGCTTTTAGTAAGTTATTTGTTGAACAACAAAGGAGCATGTTATGAACATTAATAAGTAAATTGGACTATGTTCAAATTTAATTCATTTAAGCTTTCGAGTTTTAAAAAAAATGTTCAAACTTATTTATTTACTAATTCAAAGAAACATGGTCGAGTATTATTTGAGCCGAGTTTAAGTTGTTCATCAAGTGCACTAGTTCATTTACAACCCTACTCTTGATAATCTCATCGTAGTTTTCTAAAATTAAAGTTTACCAAATTATGTTTAGATTACATCTTTTGCAATTAATTAAATAACTTAATTAAAATGTTGTATTTATTGTTGATGTGATGATGCAATCTTCATACCAATTGATGCATGATGTCTTAGACTAGAGTTCCCAATGTAGCTTATTGAGATAATATATGAAATTAGTTCTAAATTCCACCAATTAAAACAAGATTTGATCTACTTTTTATTTAAACATGAAATTATGAGAAATTACATCAAGTAATGGTTTAATGATTAATTGAACCACAGAAATTCAACTAGAAATGTAAAACCACCAAAAATTAGAATTTGATCTTTTGATTGCACTTCAAACTATAATTAGAAAATTTGCATCTAATATGACTAAGGTCAGTCCTTGCTAAATCAAGTTCAAATTATGATAATGGAAGAGGACAAGGTAAGAGATCACATAGAAAACCCAAACCTCACAACGATACGTGGTAGTGACTTCCGCAAAAAGTCAGTAGTCTTTCTTCCGCCACATTTGAAGGAACCAATGTCTAACTCAGCGCATGAGAATTGAATGAACTGGATGTATCGTTAAGCAAAACAATTTTCATCCTATATCTCGGATAATATTTATAAGCAAATCGTTTCCCAGGGGTAGAAATTCTTTGGATTCATCAGCTTGAAGGATCTACTGCGGTTATTCCAATGTGATAATTCAGCTGTTGACTTGAGATTTGACGTTAACTCCACTCTTTAACATAAAAAAACTGTGCAGTGAGGATGGATTTGCCTTTTGGAGTTAAAACTTGATTTTTGTCGCTGAGAGCTGCTCATGACAGTATCTTCTACTATGCCTTTAAATTCAGTATTGGGCTGTTTTTATTAACTTTTATCAAGTTTTACTCTTTAATTTGTTTTAGTAGGAAATTTTATTTAAACACCTTGTAATTGTACCTCAAGGTAAAAAAGTTATGGGAAATTTTTCAGGTATCCAAAAGCTATTGAGATTTTTGAAGCAATAGCAAGGCACTCCATTAACAACAGTCTTCTGAAGTATGGTGTAAAGGGGATTCTTCTTAATGCCGGTATCTGTGAGCTATGTAAGGGTGATATTGTTGCAATTAATAACGCTCTCGAGAGATATCAGGTCAGATTTTTCTGCCTTTTAATGATTAATGTTTAATGATTTTCCATTAAAGTTCTAAACCAACTCTGTGCTGTGCAGGAACTTGATCCAACATTTTCTGGCACGCGGGAGTACAAACTTCTAGCTGTAAGTTGTGAATTCATTCTCTTAATTCCTTGATGTTTTAATCATTTAAAGGGAATAAAGAAGATTTTATAAATTGATGATTAACACGTGGTGCTTTCTAGCTTATAACGGGCATTTTAAACTGCAGGATTTGGCAGCTTCAATGGATGAGGAAGACGTTATAAAGTTCACTGAAGCCATTAAGGAATTTGATAGCATGACTCGGCTGGTATGACTTTTCTCGAGTTTTATTTAAATCTTTTAAATAAAAGTTGGGCTTCATTATAGCTCGGAACACGGGCTAGCTTACTTCAAAATGTTGCTGAGTTCTGCAAGATTTTTAGATTTCAAAAATGTAAAATCTTGGTTTTTTATCGAAAGTATATGATTTATAAAATGATTTTTTTTTTAGTATGAAACTTAATACTATCTATTTAACATCACTAATGTGGTGGATTGAAAAGTATTGTTTTAAGAAGAGAAAATAATGAATATTTTTAACCAAGAACTTTTTCTAATTCATGATATTTTATGAAAGCAGACTTTGTATGCTATAGCAACACTTTGTAGGAAATTATTTGTTAGGATATAGGGTGAAAGCTTGCTTGCAACAGTGAATTCGTGTGAACCAAAAGTATAATTCAGAGCCAAAATTTTTCGGAGTACTTTGATAATGAAATAGTTGAGGTTCAACCCACATTATTTACTTGGGATTATAATGATAAAGATTATTTTGCACATGATTTTATTCTAATTCATTTTTCAATCATATACCGTTCAATCGACAAAGGAAGAACTTCTCAAACTGTATAATAGTTATGTGATATCAAATTTTAATAAATTTCATGAAGATTTGATCATCTATTAGGAATACAAAAGGTACAATGTAATGAATTATCTAGATATTAGTAGAGATGATTTATTAGTTTCACATTTTTTCAACCATTATTTTTTTAAATATATCAATTTAGATCATCAAGTCATTTCTAGCTTTTGTCAACACTAATAATCTTGATCTTACATTTGAAGATAGTAACATAAAAACTTTATGTTGTCGAGAATATGTATGTATATATATATGTATATATATATATAATATATATATATATTTCCATATAAGAAAACACTAATCTATACAAATAAGCATCCTAATTTAAATTATTACTATCATTAGTATGCAAAGGTGGAGATTGCAATTCATTTGGTGTCGCAACCATCCCTATTTTTTCTTCTCTTTCACATGCTATCATTGTTTTGGGTCTGACCACCCTCGTCGAACATTGGGTTAAACTAACTGCAGGATCCTTGGAAAACCACTCTTCTGCTGCGCGCAAAGAATGCACTAAAAGCCAAGGAAAACGAGGAAGATGATCTCACCTAAGCTCCAGATTGAAGGTTTGAATGATTCATTTTATCTATATTTCTCAATTTTTATGAAAACTATAAGCATGTAATCAACATTGTTAACATATATTATGTGGAAACCTGCTTCGACATTTATCATTGTGTGGTGTTCATATTTGGGAGTGGAGTTAGCTTTTGACAGAAACATTGTGTCACATGTTGCGAATCTAAGAACTATTAAGACACCTTAACTGAAACAATAAGAATCAGGTTTTTGTTTTGTGTAAATGACAGCTGAAGCATTTTGTTGACCCAAGTTATTTCAAAATGTTTTTCTTGATAATATGTCCTTGACAGAACTATTACATGAGGGCTTGGCTGTAAACAGGACGAAGCACAAATTCATATTTCTATGAAATAGTGAATTCCTTGTGCCTATGTTTTATTTGTCAACTCATAAAGGATGCGTTGAGGCCCGAGCCCTTGATACATAGCTGGTCTTTAGCTAGTTTCTAATCTTTTTACCCTTCCGTGGTAAACAACTATAGGAAGTATTCTCGGGACTGATCAAGGTTATACCTGCTTGAATTCCTTCAATAACAACCGGATGGGGCACCTTTTAGGACACATGCGAACAATCCATATACTACCTCGACTTTATCTTCGTAAACATGGGATGGGGTTTTATCATGAATTTTGTTATTTGATTGACAATTTGAAAAATGGATGAATCCGGGTGCCCGATTTGTAAATAGCAATGTTTCGGGTGCTTTATATGTAAACAACTCTAATTGGTTTTCTTCCCATGGAAGGGGTCATTTGAGCTCTTGCTAAATGAACTCAATTCATAAGTATTTTAAGTACAAAGCCAAGCAAAGTACATCTAGTGCAAATCATGAATGGAAGGGCATAAGATTTTTAAATTAGATCATGGGGCTTTTTCATACGTACCACACAAATTCTTATCTATTTACATATCCAACAACTAAATCTTAATACTTACATCACATAAAAAATATCATTACAATTAATTTTTATTTAATTAATGTTTTAAAGTGAAATATATGTTTTGTGAAGGGTGTTCGAGTTCGACGCATGTCCATGTGGTATGCTAATTTAATTCCACGTGGCGGCAATACATGGCTTCCTAAGGCTTGACGATACTATGTTCTGTCGACTCATTAATTCGACAATCACAGGAATGAGTTTGATATTGCATTAGTCATATTAATTTTATTCCTTTTTATTATGCACGCATGGCAAATTATCACAAGCATTCTTGCCTATATGGTGTAAATAGGCCGAGCTCCAGCAAGCATAAAGACGGCTCGTGTTTGATTTGTTCAAAAGTATTATTATTCGTGCTCGATTGATTTATATATGTACCTCAAAAAATTTGTTTGTGTTTGGCTCATTTACTTAGCGAGATGAACAATAGCTGTTTTGAGTATGATATTAAGGATAAGGGTGAGATTTAAATTTTATTGTTTATATTAAAATATTGATTTAAATATGCTTTTATATATATTTTTATTTTTTAATTAATAATTTTAATTGACTATAAATCTTTCGAGCCTTGTAGTTAATTAAATTATTTAAAAATAATATTCATTAAATATATACATAATTTAATTATTTCGTGTTAAAACAAGTTGAACACGAACGAACAAATTTTTATTTGTGTTCAGCTAATTTATATATCAACTGCAAAAAAAAAAAAAAAATGCTCGTGTTTGGCTCGTTTGCTTAGCAAATGAATTGAATATGAGCTAATTAGCAAGCTGAATATTAGCAAGTTATGGACAATGATCCGATTTGGCAGCCTGTAAATACCCTACCTTGCATTGAAGTACTTTTTAACATACATACCTAACTTAACTTATTTACATATCGAACACCAAAGCTTTTGTATTTATATTCATAACACTCAAATTAACTTTTCTTGTGCCAAGTTTTAGAGAACCTAGCCCCATTTAAAACTTTGAATCTAAATATTATAATACATTTGATATGAATTTAATCAATAATAATATATTTTACAAAAAATATAAATTTATTCTTATTGAATAACAAAGGATAATCTATATTCATCCTAAAACAAAATAATATTAATTGTTTTTTTCTTATAATGCCAAAGTTAATGAGACATTCAAATCAATCTCTCTCATGCCTTGATAATATGTGAATTTGTGTTAATGACTTGTTTTGTGACTACTTTCTAAATCAAGCTCTCAAAGCATTAAAGAGAGGAGCATCACACAACATCTTAAAACCCAAGTAATGCTTAAACTTAATACATGGGAGAGACCATTGAAGCACATTTGTTTCTGATTGAAGTGGATTTATTAACAATATCATTGTTGAAGTGAATATATCCGTGATAGGGTTCGTGTTGCTCCTTTGACGAACAAAATTAAAGAGAGTCGACCAACTGATGATCCGATTAGAAGAGTTGATGCTTTAAATTCGACTTATGTTAAGAAAGGCAGGGTAGATTTAGGATGACTTGGGCATATATTGTATAAAAAATGATCTTAATTCATTAGATCTAAATGAAAATATGACACTAAATAGGATGCAATGGAGAAAAAAGATTCATGTAGCCGACCCCACTTAGTGGGATAAATATATTGTTGTTGTTCTTGTTGTCGAAGTGATTGCCTTCTTAGTTTGAATATTCTAACAATATTAATATAAACTATGAATGATAAACTCAATTCTCTTAATCATCTCCAATGCTTTCCTCATTAATCTATATCCTTCATTATTTTTTTAATTGAATTATTATGTTCTACTTTCTCAAGTTATAATACTCCAACAAAGTTGAAACTATAGTAGCTCCACTCAATGTTGGACCATACAATTGACGTGGTCTATAATTTGTCTCAATTTTCACAAAAATTATCGCACCATCTTATCAGTATAATTTACTCGTGATAATATGTAATAAATCACAAGATTTTTTTTTCACATCCTCCTATGCCCAAATTAAATTTGCTTTATATATATATTTTTTTATTTCGAATAGTTCTTTTTTATTATTTTATTTTATTTTTATCTATTCATCTTTTATTTTTGTATTTTAATTAATCACTTAAAATTATTTTATTATATTTATTTTAGCGGATAATACTCATCGTATTTATTTAATATAATTATTATTAAATTTATATATCTCAATTTTTTTGTAAAATCCATTATATTTTAAGAAAAAATTCCTAATTATAATAATTAATTAAAAATTAATACGAATATTAGATAAAACTACTTTTAAACAACCATTTAGGGGTGGTGGCGCAGTTGGCTAGCGCGTAGGTCTCATAGCACCTGAGTTATCCTGAGGTCGAGAGTTCGAGCCTCTCTCACCCCAATTTCTTTTAATAATAATTTTTTTTGTGAAAATTTACATATATACCACCCAATTTTCATGTATTTACACATCAAACTCCTAAACTTTTATATTTACATATAAATATATAAAGGTATATAATTAAATTTTTCTAAAGTTAAAATAGTATATTTTTTATGTGATATGAATGTCACTAATACTTGTCAAAAGCCTAAAATACATGAGTGTACTTTCACAAATAATTTTAAAATTATTTTCTTCAATAAATGGATTCGACTCGAGTGAACAATAATGAATATTAATTAGCACACAGGTTTTTGCAAATTAAATAATGTAAAAGTTATTAAACTTTATATTAAGTTGTTTGGCAATGATTTATTTTAAGGCTTTTGACAAGTATTGTCAAAGTTATTATTATCATGATCAGTTATATTCAACTCCGCCGGAGCTTGTTTTCAAATCTCGAGGCTTCGGGCTACTCTTTTTTTCCGTGAAAGGTGAGCCTGAAAGATAATGTGAATGATTTGAATTCGCAAGCTCACTATAAAAATCTATACCCTCAACCACTATATCATGAATAAATATGCATTTTGGATCATTTTTGAACTCACTATATCATGAGTGATTTTTTAAGTTGAAATAATTAAAATAATACGCTTAAAAAATCATAAAAGGGCTTTATTATAACATGGAGAAGTTGAGATGAAGCCCTAATAATGATCTTAGAGGAGAGAATCCAAGATCTAATGTCCCACCAACAACCACTTTCAATGCCCATCTTCATCAAGGTTAATGCCTATTATTATTATTATTATCAAAGTTAATAATATAGCTTATCATTTCAATTAAGGATGAAACTTGTCCTCACCATCAAACTTGTTGTACAACTATAATTTCTAACAAAGCCAATGTTTATGGTCGTCAATAAAGATGATGCCAATATGAGAGTTCCAACTATCATCCTCTTGAAATGAAAGGAAACCAAATAATTGGGAAGGTAAACATTAACATCAAGTGATAATTGGACATCAAGAAAAAAGTTGAGTGATGCTGGATGATTGATTTCGTGACTCTCTAGAAGGGGAATGGTATCGGAGTTAACCCAAACCACAAAGAAAAATAAATATTATTGTCGAAATTCAAGTATGATGCAATGATGACTCATCAAGATAAACAACACAAACATGCAAATGGAAAGAACAACGACGGAGCTACAAAAATAAAAAAGGAAGTAACATAAAACACATAAATGACTGTCTATAGGAGAGAGTGGCAGTTCCTGCAAGACTGGAAGGGAATGGTGGCAGTGCTTGAAGATGACGACCAATAAGTGGTAGCGGTGCTGGAAATAGTGGATAGCGGCAGGAAGAGGGTTGGAGGTCTAGGCAGCAATAGGGAAGGGTCGGGAGGCCTGTGTGATTGTTGGAAGGGGACTGGAGAGGGGCTGTGGTTGCCATGAACAACAACATGCAGGTGGTGGTGGACTGTACGACAGCAGAAACAGGTGTGTAGAGGCCGGACAACAAATGTAGGAGGTGAGGGTTGGATAACCGCTGGAACAATTGCTGGTGGTCTAAACAATAGTAGGAACATACCCTTGAGGGGTTGGCGGTAGGGCTGTTAAAATGGCTCGTTGTTCGTGAATAGCTCGTATTCGGCTCATTAAAAAGCTTGTGTTCGATTCGTTTGCTTAATTAACGAGCCAAACACAAATAATTTTTTTTTTTTTTTGCGCTCGATATATAAACGAGGTTAACACGTTCATGTTCGCCTCATTTTGGGTTGAAAAAAATTAAATTATATATATAATTGATAAATAACATTTAAAAAAAAATTAATTGACTACAAGTCTACAAAGATTTATAATTAATTAAAATTTTTAATAAAAAATGGAATAAAAATATATTAGATTATATTTAAATGATATTTTAATATAAATAATAAGATTTAAAATCTCACCCAAACACTTAACATTCTACGACTACTTGACTAGGGTTTTCAAAATGACTTATTGTTCGCGAATAGCTCGTGTTCAAACGAGCCGAAAACAAACATTTTTCTTTTATCGAAATATAAACGAGTTGAACACAAACAACGATATTTTTTAATGAGACGAATACTAGCCGAGCCTAAGCTCGCTCAAGTTCGGCTCTTTTACACTCCTAGCTGGATGTAGCAAGAACAGATCTAGAAGGGCTTGAAAGCAATATGAAAGAACCCGGAGATCTGGACGACGATGGGAAGATGGCTGGAAGGTGGCTTGCGACAACTGGATGGGGACTAGAGGCCTGGGCTAGAACAGAGAAGATGGTTTGCGACTATTAGAACCAAGGCCAAAGGGCTTGCGGAAGAATAAATGTCTCACTGAGGTCTAATTATAGCTGGAGTATCACTTGGACTCTTGGAGACAATCACCACCTGAGGCGAATTACAACTGGAGCACCTTCTCGTCATCCTGCAATCCCTGAAGGGAGAAGAATGCCTCAAAGACAGCAACTAAAATCAACAATCATCAAAACCCTCAACTCCATAGGGGCAAACACAACATAATATAAAGGATCCTAACACAAAGAAACATAAAGAAAATTGAAATTGGGATAGAAGTAGAATGTGGTAAAAAGGGTAGGCAATAGAATATGAAGGAATATAAATGAAAAGGTTTAGAAAAGACGAGCATTAGAATATGAAGGAATTGAAACTGAATAGAAATACGAAACAGGATGGAATAGGAAAGGAGAGGGGGAGAAAGGGTGGGTGCGCGGTACTACAACAACTACAATTCCTCATCAGTGACACTCTAGCAATTGTTGTTCCACGAGTCGGTCAGCTCCCACGTTAGGGAGGCTGAGTTACTAACATGATCAACATCAAACATCAATATTTAATCATTTGGAAGCAATAAAAAATATTAGATGTCAAACAATAATACGAGGTTAACTTTATTATTTTTATGATACGAAGGAAAACCACTAACAAGGAAGATGAGCATCGAAGAACATGTAGAGATGGTTTTCAATCATTCGATGACACATGATATTGGATAGAAAATGGCTACCATTGGATGATTCGTAACAATACTTTTCTAAATCAATCGATGGTGATAACATAAACCAACCATGAATGATATGGGAATTTGGTTGGCAACGATGGCAAGGAATCCAAATTGTGTTCGAGGATCAAGTAAGAGTATGACTCAAAATTGACCCAACCCAAAATTACTTTACTCGATCCATACCAAAACATTGAATGTGTTAGAAAATGAAACACGAACCCGACCCAGCTTCAATCAGGTTGATCCGAATCTGACCTGTGTAACACATTAATACAAGACAGAATAGCTTGTTGGATCATATTTGGGTTGGTGGGCCGGTACAAAGGCTTTCTAATTTATTTGCTATGCTGTACTGTCGTTAATTTCCTTAATTGAAGAACAATTATTCTAAGCACACTCAGCGTCTGCTTCATTCGAACGACTAATCAAAATTGGCCACGTCGTCGTTTTGGATCAGGGTGCAGCTTCGAAGAATTCTAATATGGCCCACTTACAAATCTACCCAACACTTCAATTTTCATCCGAGTATTAGTTTTCAACTTAATAAACAATTGCTCCTGCTGTTAATTCAATGCGGGCTACTTAAAATGAATTTACACAAATGCCCTCATTCCGCCTGGCTGTGCCATTCGTGAGAGGCACTAATCAACTAAGCACAGTTTGCAGCCTAGTTTTAATTAAAATAAATAAATAAATATATAATATTTTTATAATATTTTTTTAGGGTATACCCAAGCATTAATATTTATATATTTAACATTAAAATTTCAATATTTATATGATGTATACAAAAAAAAAAATAGACAGTGTCTATGCAGGACAGAGTATGGAACGTTTATGTTATGAGAGATCTTGTAGGTTTATAGGAAGGGTTGAGATGATGTGATGTTGTTAGCATTCAATGGTGTTGGTTTGTTGGTATCCCGAGAATGTGTAATCTTAGTTGGTTCGTAGTGAGACTGACAGGATATCGATGTTGGATTTCGAATTTGAGGATCGAGCGACATTGGTGTAATGATTATGGTTTGTGTTTTTTTTTTTTTTGGTCTGTGAAATCGCACTTAAGAAATAGAGTGTAAGATGAGAACGAGGAATGAGACCGACTAAAAGAGAAGGATTGTACTAAAAAATAGAGCCCTATTTTGAGAGAAAAAAAAAGAGAGCATTTAATTAAATATAAGTTATTATTATTATTATTTTTATAAACCGGTCATAATTATGTCTAGATTTCTATGAATCGGAAGTTATTTGTCTAGTCACTTTATCATTTTAGTCAAGCTCTTTCTTGGGGATTCCTTCTATAAGTCTTGGAGGCTAGAGCCACGGGGTAGATAGATCACAACTCAAATATTAGGATGAAAATATACAATTATGGCTTCAATTAATTAGAAATCAAAATCATGAAATATAATTACACCAGAACAAAATTACACTAAGATTTATATTAGAAAATCCGACATCATTAAAAGAATTCACTATATATATTAATTATATATAATTAAATGTTTTAAATGCTGAGTACACAAAATTTATTGTTTTTTATTATACGATTTTGTTGAGAAATTTAGGGCGAAGAAAAACAGAAATCGACACAAAATCAGAAGAACACAGAGATTTACGAGGTTCGGCAAATATGCCTACGTCCTCGGGAGCAAAGCGTGGTTATTTCAGAGGAGTCTAATTAATACACATAGGGTTACACATTATATATATAGATAAAACTCACAGATAAATTACCTCCCAACTCATTAAATTCTAAGAGACAACTCTTTAATTTCAAGAGACACTATTCTTCATTTCAGGAGACACCTCTTCAATTTTAAAAGACTCCAAATTTTAATAAATGAGTCATACTTCACAGATTTAATCAAGCACGCTTTCTTTAACTAAAATGTGGTAAATATAAACCAACTCGTCGTCTTCACTCGTGGTTGGATCAGGGAAAGGTTACCGCCTATTTCTGCTTCTCCCCTCTTTCTAGTTTCTCCTCTTTACCCTCGCCGTAAAAAACCAGTGGAGGACACAGACAGAGCCAGCTCAGAGAAAGAAGAGAGAGAAAGCGGCTACGCTGGAGGTGATACTTTTGGCTGTCGAGATCGTGGAGACTGCAAACTCCTCCGACATTTTATCTTCTTCTCCTCTCAACCTCCCTCCAACCTTTTTCGTGAATCGCGCTGCTTTCCATCTGTGAAACCATAAGTTTTTCTCTCCTGCAATTTGATACTGGAAGTGGATGCAATGCTCTCATCCAAATCCAAGTAAGCTAGAGCTCTTGCCCCATATCAGATCTTCGTTTCTCTGTTAAAATTGCATCTGTGTTCTTGTTCCTGTTTTTTTTTAGTTTCTTTTAGTTTGGTGTCCAAATGGATTGTTTCTTTTTAGATTTGTTTTGATTTATAGCTGCAATGGCATGTGGATTTGGCTTCTGAGACACTGTGAAGATAGATCTCTTCGTGGCTTAACTTTTGAGTAGATATCTATAGAGTGATGTTTGGTTTTATTTATTGAATCATTTCTTAGATTTAGTTTTCTAATTGATGCAACTTTAGTCTTGAGTTTTGATCCATGCGGATAAACTTCTTGATGTAAATATTGTGAGAATTGGATGTTGAGCAGATCTGGCTTGCCTGATCCTGTCAACAACAAAAATGGACCAGCTAGCAAAATTGGTAGGCTGGGATCTCTCGTGCTGGACGCTGATTCTCCTTCCCCGCTGAAGAAACCTGGTTTTTCTATTGATTTTTCTCCAAGATCTGCAGATTTAAAGCCAGTGGCTAACCGCAGATCACCGAAAAGTAGTACCACTCCTGATGTAAGTAAAGCAAGCCTACAATTTGAGTGAGATTTGCTCACAAAAGTGCAAATTTATTGTATTGTATTAATTTGGTTCATGATTGATAGAAACAATCACGAGCATTAAAGGGGTCGGAGCTTCAGGCGCAGCTTGCTGCAGTACTGGAGGATCTCAGAACAGCAAAAGAACAATTAGCCTTTGAAGAGAAGGAGAAAACCCGTGTCATTGAGGAGCTGAGTGATGTCAAGAAAGCAGTGGAAGAGGTGAGCGAGAAGCTTGCAGAAACTCTATTAGCTCAGAAGAAAGCTGAGGAGAGTTCAGAGCTTGACAAGTTTCGTGCAGATGAACTGGAGCAAGCTGCCATTGAAGCTGCTCAAAAGAGGGAGAAAGAATGGAACAAAGAACTTGAAGACATCCAAAATCGCCATGCTGCAGATGTTAAAGCACTGCTATCTGTCACAGAGGAGCTTCAAAGAGCAAAACATGACCTGGCAATGACCATTGATGCCAAGAATACTGCACTGAGTCATGCTGAAGACGCCATGAAGATTGCAGAGGTTAATGCAGAGAAGGTGGAAATTTTTTCTGGAGAAATCACTCGTTTGCAATCTTTACTCCACTCTAAGCTTGAGAGCAAGTCCATGGAGACAGCCGAGCTCATCAGGAAGTTGGGTTTAGAAGTTGAAGCTTTGAAGGTTGAACTTGAAGAAGCAAAGCTAGCTGAAGAAAAGTTGGCTCAGATGGAAACCTTGGCTGAAGGGCTAAAGAGTGAACTCATAAATGCAAAGAAAGCTGAATCTGATGCGGCTGTTCTTGTGGATGAGTGGAAGAAGAAGGCAGAGTTGTTAGAATCTAGCTTGGAAGAAATAAAAGAGTCTGAAAGTTTGGCTCAGGATTCTCTTGCTTCTTTGACAAAGCAGGTAGAAGAGAGCAAGTCCATGCTTGATGATACAGAATCTGAAATTATTTCTTTAAGGGGAAAGGTTGAAGCTTTAGAGCTTGAAGTGGCTAGCCATGAAGCAGATCATGAAAAATCTGAAATCCAACTCACTCTGGCAAAGCAGGAAGCGTTGGATTTGAAAAACATGGTCGAAGTCTTGAAGAGCGAGATCCGGCGAGCTGAGGAGGATAGGGCCCAAGCATTGAACAACACGAAGCTTACAACTTCAACTGTGGAAAACCTCAATCAGGAAAACAGTAAGCTTGCCGCTGAGTTACAAATTACTAAAGAGGATTCAGAGAAAGCTAAGAAAGCAATGGAAGGATTGGCGGCAGCATTGCATGAAGTCTCTTTAGAAGCCAGGGATGTACAAGAAAGGCTCTTGATCAAGCAAGCCGAGGTTGATAGTGTTGCAGCTGAGGTAGATGAATTAAAATTGACCCTCAAAAACACCCAGGAAAAATATGTGGTCATGCTTGATGAAGCCAAATATGAGATTGTTTGTCTCAAAAAGACGATTGAGAAGTCTGAAACCGAAGCGAAGGACTTGATGGCTGAATGGGATGATAAGGAGATTAATTTGAGAAATGCCATGAAGAAGGCAGATGATGAAATTGTTTCAATCAAGCTAGAGAGGGATAAAGCCATGGAGACTCTTGAGATGAAAAAATGTGAAGTGAAAGCAGCTGAGGAAGAGGCAAACAAGCTTCATGATAAGTTGAGGCAAGCTGAATACGAGCTATTTGTTGCCAGTGATGCTATTGAAGAAGTAAAAGCAGAGTGCAGAGGCTTCAAAGAGATAATATTGGATAAAGAGAATGAGCTGCAAAACATCTTTCAGGAGAATGAGGAGCTCCGGGTTCGGGACTCTGCTGCTTCAGAGAAAATTAAAGAACTTTCTGAAACACTCTTGAAGGTTTCATCCATGGAGGAAGAAGAGGGGGAGCTTTGTAATAGTGATAAAAGTTACAACACACTGCAAAAGATGTTAGAAGTCAGGGAAAGCAAAGTTGATGAAACTGAAACAGGAAATTCAGAAGCTCCATCAGAAGAATCTCAGGAAGTTTTTAAAGAGGGCATTAACAATTTAGAGGAGAATGGCAATGAAAATGCAGAGGAATGGGATCTCGTGAAGATGAAACCAAAGATTTTTGAAGGTGAAACCATGGATAAGCAATCACCCACTGAAATGGAGCATTATGCCGAATCAATTGATGATGAAGATGTGCAGAATGGAAACACTTCACCGATTAAGCAGCGGCAGCTGCAGAAGAAGAAGGCATTGCTACATAGATTTGGTAACCTTCTAAAGAAGAAGAATTCCCCCAAATAGAATATCCACATTTTCATTTCATTTCTTATTTGTGTTATTTAATATTTCTTTTTTGAGTTGTGATAAATCATTTTCATGGATCATGTTGATTGTCATTTGTTTTATAGTTTGTGCATTCTGAGAGAATAGTGGAAGCTGTATGAAGAAAGTTTGATGCTTGCCTTTTAGTCCAATCCAATTGTAATACTGTTCGTTATATGTGATTGTTATGGAAACTTTTGAAATCTAATAGTTATAAATTAGAAAGTGTGTATATTAAGAAGATTAATACTAGTTAACATAATTTCAAGAGATCTAAAAATATGATCTTTCCTATATTTGAAATATTCTTTATTTGTATGTTCTAATCCTCTCCTATTTGCATGAGGGATTATGTAGTATTTGTGTGTGAGTTGTAACCCATAAATTAGAAAGTGTGTATATTAAGAAGATTAATATTAGTTAACTTAATTTAAAGGGATCTAAATATACGATCTTTCTCATATTTGAAATATTTTTTATTTGTATATTCTAATCCTCTCTTATTTACATGAGGAATTATGGAGGATTTGTGTCATTGTGTGTGAGTTGTAACCATATTTTTCCTAGCAGTCTTTTCTTTCTCTTAAACTGTGATTGTGGAATCTACCTCCTCACGGCAATTGGTTTAAGTCGCACAAAGTTTTTCTCGCCAAAGCATTCGGAGTTTTCAAATGTGCAACGAGATTGTGCCAAGAGGTACTGAATGAGAAAAGCAGCAGGCTCTACATACCATATATTCTAGATCAAGGGACAAAAAACATGTAAGAGAGATATCATCAATGTAAGTGGAAAAAACCAACTATAGCAGAGAAACATATGCTTGTTATAGAGTGTAAAGAGCTGTAATGTGTTGTGGAATTAAAGTTTTGAATTTTTATTTTCTGCTTTTAAATTTAATAGATTACTTAATGCATCTCTAGACATTCTTAGCAAAGGATTTATCATTTTGGAATATTCGGACATTTTTTTTTTCTAGCCAAATGTAGTTTACAGTATTCTGAATAACTAGAAGGGAGAAAATTCTTGTGATCTTGCAGGTAATAATATCGGCAATAATGAGGTATCAGTGGGTGGCCGGCAACTGAGGTAGCAGCAACCTGCGGAAGCGGCGGCGGCAACTTGCCTAGAACATTTTACATGAACTGTGTAATTCAAATTCGGCCAAATCGGTCAAATTCTGAATTTAGCCAAAATTAATTGCGGTGTAAACTTCAAATTCATTCATATTTTATATTGTATTTGTAATTCTTCATACCAAATACATGATTTTCTCAAATCCTTGCAAAAGAATTATACTACCCAACAAACTCACTGAACCAAAGAGCCCCTTGGTAATGTTGTGCCGATCTATTGTATGAATCTTTCTCTCGGAACTCCAAAAAAGCAGAACTATGTATTTATTTTGGTGGTAATGCTTTTCCTGAAGCCTATGGGAATAATAGTGGATCTGAACTAGTATTGTAAAATTACTCCAAATGGAGTTTCTAACTAATTGGAGGCTACTAACAAATGACAATTGTTTTTGTTTCCAGCAACTAAGGATGCGTTGAATCTTTTCAAGGTTACCCGGGCTATTGAAGGCAGTAATTCTTGAGGAACGTATTGAGATTCCCAGGTATTTCCAAGGAAGGAATTTCAGCTTAAATAAAGTTTCTCCTGATCTGGGACAGAATTAGAGAAACAAATAGATGATTTAGCCGTATTTGTACACATATGGGAAGTCCCTTGAAGTGCAAAAATAACTTGAGAGAGCGGTGAATCTTTATCAAAAACTAAGAGCTCATTCACATAGATGTGGTGCTTGGAAGTGGGGATGCAGTAAGAAAAATTCTCTTTTTTTCTCTAGCAATTAAGAGAATGAGTCCGTTCATTATAATGGTGAAATGTTGAGAGAATAGAGGTAGTAAAATAAACATGACGTTTACTATTAATGATAGTAGAGAATTTAACATTTTGTGTACAGGTTTTGATTCAATTTATGAATTTGGTAGGAAAACCAATGGAGTCCATTCTAGCACATAAAAATTCTCTATTCACATAATTAAAATCCTTTTTTAGATCTATTTTTGCACAAAAAAAAAGCTTTGCAATGTTTGAACCTGGGAAACAAACCATTATTTTCTTAATTCTTGGTCGGTATTTTTTTATTTTGTGGCTGGCTTTGTAGATTTTGGGCTGTTTATTTTTTATTTTATTTTTATGTTTTTTTTTTTTTTTGCGCTGATATTTTGATGGCCAATTTTCTGAATATTTATGATGTTTTTATTTTAGTTATTCTCAATACATGGAAGGAATTTTAATGTTTATTTTGCATGTAACTTCCTTGGCTCAAATTTCTTTTTTCTTTTCTTTCTTGATGTTGCTATGTGGTTTTTCTTTACATCTTTAGATATTCCTCTATTTTGGTTGTGGTTGTAATTTGTTTTTTTCTGGATCTATTTTCCTCGTCATAATTTTTATCCAACTCTATTCTGTTTTATTCTTTGTTGTTTGCTATTGAGAATTTTAGGGCATAAAAACGCAGGAATTAACATAAATTCAAAAGAAAACACAGAGATTTAACGAGGTTCGGCAAAGATGTCTACGTCATCGGGAGTGACAGCTTTCTTTCAATTCAAAAAAGGAGTATAGAATGTCCCCTTAGGGTTGCAATATAACATATATATACATATATAACTCTGGCGTACAATATGTAATTAGAAAATTTCTCCTGTACCGTACCACGAGGGCTTTACCCCGCACCCCCAACCCACATAACGGAAAACTCCTCCAATTGGACAAATGCTTCTGCTCTGCTCTAGGATCTGTCTCTTATATGGTATATGAGTTATACCTAACATTTGTTTTGCTCTCTCAATTTTTGCTTTTTTGCAGATAGAGGTGAAGTTGGCTATCTTGAGGAATTCTTATGGTGACAACTTTTGGATGTGAAGGCCGTTGTTATGTGGTGTTGTTTAGTGAGTTTTTTCTATTGGGCTAGTTTTTTATCCCATGCGTGCACGCACACATATATAAAGATGGTTGACGGGCAACCCATCAAGTCTAAGGTTGGACCCATGCGTCTAACCACTCGAGTACAACCCTCATATAGCAACAGTCGCTCGAGGAGGGAGGGTGGGGGTACCCTAGATTTGAACCTCAGAGGGGACATACACCGCGGAATGTGTGTGTGTGTGTGTGTGTGTGTGTGTGTTGTGTGTGTTTTCATGCATAAATTTATCACGCCAAAATGATATAATTATAAATAAGCATGCGTAAATCTTCCTATTTTATAATAGCAAATAAATTTTTTTCATGCATAAATTTATCACGCCAAAATGATATAATTATAAATAAGCATGCGTAAATCTTCCTATTTTATAATAGCAAATAAATTTTTTTCATGCATAAATTTATCACGCCAAAATGATCTAATTATAAATAAGCATGCGTAAATCTTCCTATTTTATAATAGCAAATAAAAATCATGCTTAGTTAATCATATTTCTGATGCTTGTAGGCTCAACCCTCTTCATTTACCATCAGCATTTCAACAAACTACAAACCAATAAATTGTTTAAATAATATGCAGAAAAACACTGTTCCCTATAGGAACATATCAAAATGAAAGAAAACCTTCTTAACATTAAATTGAATAATACAAATAATGAAGGACGATATACATACATACCACTTAATTCTAATGCATTTACATATCTAACCGCTGAACTTCAAATTTTACATATATATCATCTTACCTATGCACCAAAAGATACAATTCACTTCTTAAAATTAAAATAGTGGTATTTTGATGTGATGTGGAGGACTTAGCTGGTATAAATGTTGCAATTAAAATTTAGATGTTAGATATGTAAATGCATAAGAATTGAATGGTATGTATGTATATGCCCCAATAATGTATAAATACAGAATGTTATTAAACAATAATAATAATAAACCCGTGATGCTCCATTCTTCAGCAACACCATGAAAATGGAAATAAACCTCCACTGCCTATTCTGCTGCTCACAATCCATCTCCATATTCCAACATGAGCTTGTTTAATTTCTTGCTGTGTATCCTCTCCTGAATCACCCTCAACCCTTCACTGCATCACAAAACATATTTTAAGAAGAACTTCATCAAACGAGAAAATATTACTTCCAGAAGAAGGCATGATGCGTTCTATGTCGTAGTTCGCATGTCTGATTCCAAAATTGATATGTGAAACAACAACGATAATATATACCTCGAAGGAGGACTCGGCCCGGGGGAGAGCATACAAACGAGTTTGACAGCATCTTCAGGGTGGCAGATTGCGTGGTTGAAGCAAAGATATCGACCGTAGGCGTCTGGGCATTCGAAGACGCGGATATGAGCATCTACTAGAGACTTGAGCTTCACTGTCACCAGCACTCCATCTTCATACATCTCGGGCGCGCCCTTTAGATAAGGGTTCGAAAGCGACAGCTCGGATCCGGCGAGGATTAGCCCTGCGTTCACAGCCACCATGTCGACGCCTCGGTCCATGGCGAGCGCCCAAGCCGTCTTCTCGGAGAGCGTCTTTGCCAAAGCATACCATAGCTGACATTGGTAGTTAATTGTGTTAACTTAGAATAGGTTTTTGATGAGGAAAATGGAGGTTTGGTTTAAGCTATATTCTCGTTGAATTTAGTGAAGTTCAATTTGATATAAAATAATTGGAAAAAACTTTGGACTAGATTGAGTTTCAAACTACTAGATTTACTTAAAATTTGTGCTGCACGCATCTCCAAGCAAATCCAACGACTTTAAAACCCAAAAGAACAACAAATGTGAGTGGCTTATATACATGAAGAGCCAGCTTCGTAAGAGCTTTGACTTGGTTTTATTTTTGAACTGACGCAGCCCTTGAGGTGCATGCTAAGGCTTCCTCATCCATCTCTACAAAATTCCTAATGAAATAAACCAAATAAAATGTTTCTTCCTAAAGACTTAAATAGGATACTAACAAAAACGCAATATTACAAACACAACATCCAAAACATTGATATTTACAAACATGCCCCCATCAAGCCATTCAGAACTTGATAAAAAGTGAAAATTATGGGTTGGGGTTCATGAATTTTGATATTTGAGTGAGAATTCGAATGAGGGGGCTTCATTTGTAAATAGTTATATTCAGGTGCTCAACATGTAATTTCTAAAAAATAATAATAATCCAATTTTCCAGGAGCCTCAAGTAGTTCAACAAGAAGAGATTATTTCCTACAAGTTATTCATAGGCTACGGTTCTCCTCATTGTTTAAGAAAAGATAAATCTGCAATTTTGTTAAAGTTGGACATCAAATGACGCAGAGTCGTACAACAGCAGTTCAACCACTCTGTTAAACTTGAAAGCGACGAAGTGAGTTTATATATTTGATAACATTAATAGCAATTAATACAATCAGAAATTCTAGGAAATTTACATACTTACCCCACAATCTTACATATCTATCCTACATCTTAACTGTCATATTTTGTAACTCTTTAGTGTGCTGATAGCTGTATTTTTTTATGTGATGTTAAAGGCTTAAGTGTTATGGATGTAAATATTAAATCAGGGGTGTTAGATTTGTAAACATACATAATAATTGCAATTGTGCGGTACGCATGCAAATATGCCCCCAAAATTGAGTGCATTTTCTGTCCGGACTCATGACTTAACCCAAACCTGAGTTATTTTCAGGTTATTTATGGGTTATTTTCAATAATACAAAAATAACCCAAAAATAAAAACCGCGGGTTATTTCTGAGTTATTTCGGTATTATTGAAAATAACCCAGAAATAACTTCCGCCACACGTAAAGCTACGTCAGGAGTCCGCACAGAAAAATATTTGCCCAAAATGGGAGAAATATTTGCATACGTTTAAAGTACGCAGAGCTGCATACGTCGGTAGGTTACATGGAGGGTATTTGGGGGTTATATCCGCGTTATATCCCCTATAACCTCATTGTAACATACATGTAATTTATATGTAACTTACAATATATGAAAACAGAAGCGCGGAACTTACTAGTTGCGAGTAGGTTACAGGGGTATAACACGGATATAACCCTCAATACCCTCCCTATAACCTATCGACGTACGCAGCACTGTTAGACGTACGCAAATATTTCTCCCAAAATGGGATTTAAATCTATATGATTTACTTTGAGATATGTGCAACATAAATTTACATCTATACGGCACAATTCTTATCTATTTACATATCTAATGCCTATATTTACATTTAAAACACTCCGATGTTATAAACTTATATATATGAAATTATGTATTTCACTTTTAAGAAATTATAATAGGGGTAGTTTTGACATAATAGTAAAGATTTCATGTAAATATATAAGAATTATGAGGTATATATGTAAATGTAAATGTCCCCCGAAAAACATAAATTAAAGAAGTATTTCGGAAAATAACTTTACCTTAAATTTTCGGCAGAAATTAGGGTCGCTCCAATCCCTCGCATCAACATCCTCTGCAATTTTGAGCTTCTCATTCCATATTACTGCTGTAACAGAGGAGGTGAAGACCACCCTCTCCATGGCGTCCGCCTGCGCGCAGGCTTCCAACACATTATGAGCGGCTCTCAGCTCTATTTCAACCATGAACTCCTGCGCCATACATTATCATTTTTTCCCTCGAATAATAATAAGATTTAGTGCAATAATTTATCGCGATTATCTTAGAGGCGATCGATCGCCGGAAATGGAACTCACGTCGTAATTGGACTCGCCGTCGAAGGTGTAGAATAAGCCGGAGCAACCCCGAATCGCGCCGGCGATGCTGTTGTAATCCAAAGGATCTGCTCTGAAAACCCTCACCTGCTTGTTCTCGCTCCAGGCCGTCTTCGTCGCATCAACTGCGCATGCACACCAACCGTTCGATCAATTGTCTCAAACCAAAAAAACCAATGCAGCAGATTAAAAGACCAAAAAACTAAACATAACAAAACGGATTCGAACCGCGAGCGAAGGCGGCTGCGTGGACGGTGTAGCCGCGGTGAAGGAGGCGGTCGACGAGAGCGGCGCCAAGGCGGCTGGAAGAGTCCATGACGCAAACGGTCTTGGGAGAGTGGTGTGAGATTGCGGCGGGAGCCATGGATGAGTTTAGGAGTGGAAGACTGAAGGGATAAAGGTGGAGAAGGGAGGGGGATTGAAGGAGCGTGGAGGAAGGGAGGTGGGATTATAGAAGTTGCTCTGGTTAGCTGCGGCACGTGCGTGGTAGACAGGTAAGAGAGAGGGGAGAATTGATGAGGAAGCACGAGGCAGGAGTTTGGTAGGGGTAGTGGCTTAACGCCAGCGTGCGTGGCTCTCGCTTATTAGAACTCTGCTCGCATTCAATTGGGTTGGGATCAGAATAGCTGGAAATTTATACGATTCTGTACAATTATATATATATGAAATTTGATTTTAGGATAAAAGCTCACTATTTATTTTATAGACAATGGATATCGAAATGATAATTTAGATGTAGGGGAGATATATTTGTTTTATGTTATATTAAAGATTGGAGAAATACACAATTTTTATTTTATATCAAATAATTGAGTGGCATGAGCTCATGCGGTTACAGAGATGGAAGGTTCAAAAGTTAGCTTATATTAAATTTTTTGAATTAAAATTAGGTATTAAGTGAATAGAGAAGGGTGGGCAGTTGATAGATAATGCAATTTCAAATCTACAAAATGAAAGCATGTATTTGTTAGAGTATAATAACTTATATTATTTTTAGTATTCCGTTGGTTATAATTAATAAAAGTCGGAAAATAAAATAACAATGATAAGCGATGATTTATGTTGTAGTTGTGTCGTCGCAAATTACTAAGATAAAAAGTAGTCGTAAAATCGTCGGTAATTAGAATAATTTTTTTAAAGTAATAAAAGTTGTCTGTTTTTTTGTCGATTTTAACTATCTTTTTTATAGTATGATTGAAGAGAAAATGTATATTTGTAGTCTCTAGGGAGGGACATCTTGACCATTTGGTGAATAACTCACGTACCTACCTTATCGATCGACTCTCATGATCCCCTTTAATCATAAGAGATTTCTTTTTATGGTTTGAGGGTCTTAATGAGCTCAGAATTGAACGATCTTGGACTCGTTGGATTTCCCTAATTGAAACACTCAATTTGATTATAGATTTGTCAGATTTATTTGAGAATTAAAATGATAATCCAAAGCCTCTAAATGTGTTATAATTATTTGAACTGGGCTTTGATTGGACTCAAATTAAATCAATTTTGGCTTCATTGGGTTCATCTTATCGAGACGGCAAGTTTGATTAGAAGCTTGTTGAAATCAGGTCCCAGAATAATCTTGAATTTGTATCCAGAATGTTTGTTTTAAAAAAAAATCTCAAACATTTTTGTTAGATAATAAGAATTTATTAATAACACGCCAAGTACTTTACTACTAAAATTATTTTAAGGTAATTTAAATATATATAGTAATTTTTTTACGTAATTATATATCTAAAATTTAAACTATAATAAAATTATGATTTGTTGTAGAATTTATGACAATAGAGTAATAGTTTTATATTATAATTTTACTTGAAAAATCTTGCATATATAACAGATAAAAGATAGAGATACAAGTAACAACAAGGTTCCTTGTGTGAAAAGCCTAGTAAATAAAAATTCATTAAGCCTTGTTTGGATAAATTGATATATTACATTTGATAAAAATTTAAAAGATTTACTCTTTATCCTAATTGAGAATACAATACTACATACTATAGATCTTCCTTTAATGTCATTCTGAATACTAGAAAAATAGTGGATGATGATGGTGGTCAAGAGAAGAAGATCAGATGATGATAATTTGCTATTGAGTTATAATAGCTACATGATGATGGTCGAACAAAAAAAAAATGATGAATTACCACGATTGGGCAATGGTTGTTCGAAGATGACAATTACGTGATAGAGGTCCAATAATGACATGAAGTTTTAAAATAAAAATTTTAGAATATTGCAGAAGTAAGTTGCCTCTAGATTTATGAAGAAATTAAGCAAATCAAACTAAAATATAGTTTCGAGGAGTTATAATATAAATAAGATCCAAAAGAATAAAAAAGGAGAAAATAATTTTGTTCGATTTTTGGACATTTATAAATTTTTGCCTCAAATTTTGATATATTGTCATAAAAAAAAATACTCATTTAAAATTGATAAGTCGAGCCCCTGGATTAATGTGCTAGATTCATTAAAAAAATTTTTAACCACCAACTTATGGGAGCAAAGACAATAAAAGCTATGGCTTGTCTAGCTCATCAAACCATCCTATTTTTTTGTAGAATTAATGTGCTATAGATCATTCAAGTCTACACTTTTGAGTTCACTTGCTACTAAGAAAGTAAATAATATATGAACTAATTCTCTTTGTTAGGCATTCAATATTTGCATGAATTTCTTTTCTAGGCAATGTGTATAACAAGTCCAAAGGGGAATTTTAATTAGTTTTCAAATTTCTAATTGAATATGTTAAAACCATATTCTTCTAAGCATGATTTAAGTAAAGATAAGAGAAATAATAAAAAAAATCCAAAAAGGAAAAATATAATATTATCCATAGTAATAGTATCAACTTAGCCATATGATGGTGTTAGCCTCCCATTATGTTGGAAAAAACATGACACGTGGCGTCCTATCATGAACTCCTGATGTAATATTTTCTGCATTGTGTTTTCTTTCCTTCACACCTTAAGACACCTTAAGAGCGGTTTTGAGGAGCCCTATTAAAACTAATTCCCGATTTTACTGACGACCATAAGCACAGTTTGCGGATGGCCGAGAAACCAAATTCTCCCGCCGCCGGCTCAGCAATCACCGGGCTATCCGTGCAGAACAACGAGACGATTCGAGCTTTCCTTCTTTCCGCCGTGGATGACGAGCAACACCTCCCGGGTGAGCTCCGAGATCTCGCCTCCGATCTGTCTTCTCAGATTTCCATCCCTTATCGGCACCTCCGCTCCGTCTGGTTCGCTCTCCCAGTAGGCGCGAGGCCCCCCATAACCGCCATTTTTTCCGGTGTTGAATTCCTCTTCTCTAGTCCCAAACCCAGGGAAAAAGTGAGTGACCACAATTGTAAACCTAGCATCGAATCCGTGTCTTTCTTTTCTAATTTTTATTAGGGTTTGTATGTTGTCTTTGGACTTTGTAGAGCGAGGAGTTAAAGGAGAGACTGAGGAAGCTTGCGGATATGATGGAGAGGAAGGAATACGATGAACTTGTGAAGGACGTCGCTCCAAGAAAGGAAGTAGCGGAGCCCTTTTCTTCATATAAAGATCAGATAGGCTTTGGTATGTTCTTGCTTCTGTTTTCTTCATTGTTCGAAATGTGATGTCTGCGATAGCTAATGCTTTTTGAATCTGATGAGTGATAAGAGTAGTGTTAGTAATTTGTAAGTCTCCTGCTAATCTATTTGCCTTTCCATGTAAGTAAACTGTAGAAGATGTTGATTTACGCCTGTAGTCTGTGTTAGGAGATTATTCTTTTGTGGTATAAAGGCTGCAGAGCCTCATATCTGTTTTTTGCTAAATTGCTGGTGAGGCTTACATGCTCTACTAGCTGCTGCATTGGTAAAACAATCACTAAGTTTTTATTAATGACAAACTATCTGAACTAATTAAACCCTTTGGAAATTCTTCAAAAAAAATGGTTCATCATCTATCTTAGCCGCTGTTTTATTGGCCATTTTAAGTAGAATCATTTGGAGTAATCAAACTAAATCTTGCTAAACACCTTATAATATGCTTCTAAGCTAATTGCAAGATTTGGCAGGATTTGATAAAATAAGATACAAGTCTAGATTCTAAATTCAAATCCCAGTTCCACTAAGATTTTGGAATCTACAATGTTATGCTTCTCAAGCTTTACTAAATCTTCCCCAAAGCTCTTAAACCACCCAATTGGATTTAAAAAATTTATCAACGTCAAAATTTATCAAGTCCTATAGACCCCGTTCGATTAGAATGTGTAAATCTAAAATTTCTAAGTCATACTTGGAACCAGAGAAACCATTAGTTTAGTTCTCTTTTTCAATTAGTAAATTTATGAGATTCTTTCTCCAAAAGAAAGTATTCACAACCTTAGCAGATTTTTTGTGAATGCCCTTCTATGACATGCATTATTATTTTCGTTGCTGTTCGCATAATTACTATTATTACCTTTGAGAATGCAACACGTCAGAGTTTATTACCTCTGAGATTTTGATATTGGCCATTTTAAGTAGAATTTAAGGAGGGATAAAAAAAAACCTGCCAAGCACCTTATATGATAGATTTAAAATAAATCTGATAACATGATTTGATAAATCCTGGTACAAATCTTAGATTTGATAAATCCAAATCCTAGTTTTGCTATTTTGGTTTTTACAATCTTATACATAAGATTTACATATTTTTTCTAAAATCTTTTAAACTACCCAATTAGATTTAAGAATTGACCAGCATCAAAATTTACTGTTTTATAAATCCTATTTGATCAGGCTGTATTAATTCCAAAGAAACGTATAGTAAATTAGTTTTGATAAAATTAATTATTTAATTTGGAGATTAAACGACATATAGTGCCTCGTATTGCTAAAATTGAATTAGTTGAAAATTTGATTAAACTATTGGTAGTGGTTTTGCTGTTCATGGAGGAATGAGCAGAACACTTCATGATGGAGTATATGGTGCATATGGGGCTAAACATAAGAGTTTGATGGAAGAAATATGCTTGAACTTATGGTAAAGTGTAATATGATAATTGAAAATACATCGGGCAGCATTCCAAAATTATCAATTGCTTTGCAAGAGAATTCTTAGGTCGACCGTCTGATGATCCAATTAGAAGAGTAGATGTTTTAGATTTAACTTATGTTAAGAAAGGTAGATGTAGACCTAGGATGACTTGGGCATATTGTATAAAAAATTATCTTAATTTATTCGATTTAAATGAAAATATGACACTAAATAGGATGCAATGGAGAAAATGGATTCATGTAGCCGACCCCACTTAGTAGGATAAATGTTTTGTTGTTGTTGTTGTTGTTATTGTTTGAAAATGGTAACTAATATATAAGAATCTCAAAGTAAATTTCAAGAATGCATGGGGGAATAATCTAAGCTTTTGTTGGGGTATGTGAAAATGTGTTTTGGATACTTTGGCTTGGCGAACCTTTTTGAAAAAAAATAAATCTCTACAATTGGTCCAAAGTTACTATGTTCTTTGGAGGGCTCTAACCCTCATTTCGTCTTGGTGAACATTAATCTTTCTGTCAATTTTGTGGGTTATTAAGGGATGCTATCCCTTACTTCAGAATGAAGCAACATATTCTATATTTATAAAAGAATACATATTTTCTTTTTGGCTTCGATTGCCTATTTTTAAGAGTACAAAAAAGTGATTCTTATTAATTGGGCTTACTTGGGGCCTATATTATGTTGTGAGTAATTTAGAGTTCCCCATTGTAGATTGTTAGCTTTTATGTGCCTTTTTTAAATATATAAAATATCTTGTTAAATTTTTTATCAATCAATTTTTTAATAGAACTGTTTGGTCAAATAAATCTATTCTCTTGTATCATCTCCATTTTTATTTTGAGTTGGAAAGACTCATCTGTACTTTATGCCTTGTCGCAATAAATTTCCTTCTAAAAATTTTATCTTTTGTCAGTAGTTCCTCTTCTCTCATGAGTACTTGGTAGGTTCAAATTATTTTGAGTTGTATCATCTCCATTTTTATTTTGAGTTGGAAAGACTCATCTCCATTTTGAAGGATCAACAATATCTCATTCAAATTATTGAACATAGATTACTTTCTATTCGTGTAATGTAACTTCTTTTATGCTCTCAAAAGTTAATTCTCTTCTTCTTAAACATGCCTTCATATAGATGTAAATACACGTTCTTTGTAATCAAAATGATTATGTTAGAAGTTGGAAACTTTAAATTATTAGATGCACAGGTTGATAAATCCATTTTACGTTGTCAATGCGCAAAAGTGTAACACATTGAACAATATCCTCTTTTCTTTGAAGCATGAACGAAAAATGAGTGTTCATTTCAGCTAATTGAAGAGTAAATATCACAAGAAACATTACATAGTGTCACACTATTCAATAATCTTCGTATAAGACAAAAATACAATTAATATGTCATTTTAAGTCATGTATTATGAAGAAATTTATCATCAAGAAGTAAGTAATTTTAAATTAAACTCATGAGACGTTGCCTAAGAAGATAAGGGGTCTGTGCCATCATAGAGAAATGCCGAATATGGCCAGGGGAGTAAAGCCATGCACTATGAATGCAAAATTAAATCAATAGATAGTTTGAAAATAGAAATACAAGAAATCTAGAGATTTGCAAGTCAATGGTGGAAGAATCAAAGATATATAATGTTTACAAGGAAGACATTACTTGAAGAATACTATGTTAGTCTAATCACTGGTGACGAAGAATAGAATGAAAAGAATTATGAGTGGAGAATATTTTTCCTTTGAGCTATGACATGTTATGATTTTGAAGCCAAGAGGAGAAGAATTACATGGAGAGAAGAATTCTTGAAGAGTTTTGATGGTAGAGTTGGAGTGAGTTTGTGACATGAATCAGGGCTTTTGTTTCTGAACTGAATTGTTGAGGAAACTGGGGATTAAGTTTAAATTTAAACATTCTTTGATGTGATAATACTAGAGCTTTTGAAGCATTGCATTGCATACACTCCTTGGTGGTGTGGAGCGTCTAATTTTTTAACAATGCATTGTGATTTGAGTGGCAGCACTTTGCTCCGAAAGCATGTTTAAAACACATGCTTTTAACAAAGATACTTTTATTTATTGTTTTTTTTTAAGCTTAATATTATCTTTCGAATTTCAATCAAACCAAGTGCCTAAAGTTCGAACCGTTAAGGAGTTTTGCTTTATAATCAAGGTCAAATATTCATGGACTTTGACCCTTCACTAAATATATTAATTAATGCTCAAGTTATCATTTTTTTTTCTACGTCTTTTGCATTGATGTTACTTCTAATGCACTATTATAAGAGCATCTCTCTTAGTTCTAAGGAGAAGTTTGAGTGAATCAAATCACTTTTCATGGTTGTATGATCTGCCTTCATTTGAAAGGTGACATTTATCCATATTTTAAGGGCATGCTTATGTATTTTTCTATCAGATTCTAAGAACTGAATACAACAAATGTCACATAATAAAATTCTATTTTCTAATAATTAATCTTCTTACACCTATCCATTTTGAATCAACTGATGGATTCAAGAATGAATGTTGAAATGTCTCTAAATTGATCACATCATTATTTTGAAATCACCAAACACTATGATTCATTTACATTTCTCAGGCCTGCATGTTGTGGTGGTGATGTTTACTGGCTATTTATTTGGATTTGCCGCTTTTAGAGCCTTGTTCAACCACAGCGCCGTGATGGTAAATTCCAAGCTTCTGAACTCGAAAGCTTTTAAACCATGATTTTTTTTTGCTAAAGATTTTCGTACATATCACTCAATTTATATATATTTACGTATCTAATTCCAAAATTTTAGTTTTTACATACCTAATACCTTAGCAATGCATGAAATGATGTATTTTACTTTTTAAAAGTTAAAATGGCGAAATGTTTTGTGTGATATGAAAGATTTGGGTGGTACAAATATTAAAAAAAAGCAAAGTTTAGATTTTAGATATGTAAATACGAAAAAATTGATTGATATGTATGTAAATGGCCCCACCATTTTTTTTTTTTTTTTTTGTCACTTTGGAGAAGATTCCATCTTAATTCTGCAGAATGCTGCCGGTGGCATCCTGGGAATGGTAGGTGGCATGCTTCTTGAAACTATTCTCTTCATCCTTCGAGCTTCTGGTAATGATATGTTATCATCTGGCTCCAGCCTGAAGCATAAGAAGCAGCAGTAGGGCTTAGGTATGGCTTTTCGACACCAACTTGTGGTTATATTTGTATGCATTATTTCCCTAATATTATAAATCACACTCATTTCACGAACTGATCCTACATCTTCTTGACCAATACAATTTCCTTGTAGTTTGTGAATTTTCACAAATATGTGGGAGCATGATTTAAAATTGCGCAATATGAAACCCACCACAACACTTTAATGTGAGGCTCGCCTCAAGACAAGCACCTAATTAAATATAGGATTTTTCTTAAAATAAATTTAAGTAAAATAACCCTACTAAACATCTCGTACTTGCCCATATAATGCACGACTATGGATATAATTAAAGTTATTATTATTAATTTAGATATTATTTTAAAATTATATAAATATTCTAATTAATTAATTTGATTAAATAACAGTAAAATGATTGAGATTTAGAAAGAAAAAAAAAAAAAGAGAGAGAGAATGTGAAGTAAGAGTGATGAGAACTTTTGAATGTAAAAATTTTTTACCTTAGTGACTTGTTATATTCTTATTTTGATGGGTGGCAGTAAGAGTGTGAGAGCAACTGATCATATCAATTTTTTAAATTATTATATTATTATGTTTTTTTTTAATGCTTGATGTTTGGATGTTAACATATTACGTCTTATTTTGAACAATGTATTATTCTCCCAATTACGATGTTAATATGTTATGTTTAAGGCTATTAATATTTTACCATGCCATCTTTTATAATATACTTTAAATTTAGTACATTATCTTTTGTTTTGATCAATTTTTTTAGGCTTTCGTTTTAAGACACCTGTAGGCTGACGCCTCACTATACGGACATAAACATCGCAATAAGTAATTGCATAATTTTAAACTTTGTTAAGGACTACAGGCACATTGTAGTCTGGCGTCATCTATGGACCCAATTTTGTGATTTTATGTCTTAGATCCTAGTGGCGGCTAGCTAGTTACATGTAAATATCATAATATTTGGTTGGTTTGGCGTCAATTTTACAATAAATGTCTTTATTATTGTTGTTTTATCAGCAAATTGGGATCACATGATTTCATATTTTTTAAATGAGAAATATCACATATCAGGTTTTGGTACCCATTAGGCTGATAAATGCTTATTGATTTGGTTAGGTTTGGTTGATAGGAGTGTGCATATGGTTAATTTGCATGTGTCCACTCACAAATTAGTCAAATTGAATAAAACCGAAATCCGACATATAGAAAATCAAACTGAAACTTTTCTTAAAATCAATTCAAAATGAACCAATAATTTTTGGTTAATCGGTTCATTCTGGAGTAGATTGAAAGTTAGCATTTTATTCTATTTCAAATCGAAAAAATTAAAACTTAAAGGCTGTATTTTAAATTAAAATTTCTTTTTTTTTTATATCGTTATTTTTTTAAAATTAAAATTTTAAATTAAATTAAAATAAACATGTAGTATGCTCAGTTTATTTTTTTAAATGAATTTAGTCTTTTAATTCTAATATTATTTGATTTTTTTTTAACATACATAACACTTAAATTCGTATGGATTTACAATCCCATAACAAAACTTTCATTTTTACATGCAAAGGACTCAATTCTTTTCAATCACAACAAAAGTAATGCTAATTACTACTTTTAATAGTTAAATACACATTTCCATGAATGCATATCCTGGTAATGGTAGAATTATTGTATCCGGACACGTGCCCAATGATAGGGTGCCACATGAAAACCCTGGCCCGAACTGTATATATCAATGGACCCAAATTGCCACGTGGCTCCTGGTTATTGGACACCTATGCAAATTTATATTAGATGTCATGATGCAAGTGTGTGAGAGAGAGAGAGAGAGAAAAAATCCTTTTGAAGACATTTATCCGTGGTGTGAAAAAGATATGATATGGGCGTGAGGTTGTGTCATAAATAAGATATGATATGGGCGTGAGGTTGTGTCATAAATAAAGGTTTGACACTGGTTTTTCCAAGTGGTTGCTAGATGTCTTTGGCAGGTGGGCTCAACTTAGCCCACCTACTTTGAAAATAATTTGAAAAGAGTTGTTAGGATATATAGTAGTATTTGTGTATGCATTCTCTCTCTCTCTCTCTCTCTCTCTCTCTCTCTCTCTCTCTCTCTCTCTCTCTCTCTCTCTCTCTCTCTCTCTCTCTCTATATATATATATAAAGGAACGACCGAAGGCTATTATACGAGCTCCGCCCATCTCTCATGTGCCTAAGAATTCGAGTACCACACCCATCCTATGTCTTTATATGTCTAACATCAAAATTTTAATGTTTTAATATATATATATATATATATATATATTAAAACATTATATTATATATATATATAATATATATATATGCTTCCTTAACTATACATAAAATTATGTATTTCATTTTTTTAAGTTAAAATAATGGTATTATTTTGTAATACAAAGGATTTGGGTGGTGTAAATGTAAAAAGTAGAGTCCAGGAGTTAGACATATAATAAATAGGAAATGGAGATGGTTATGTATGTAAATGCCTTAAAAGAAGTAATGTGTAAACAGTTGTCATTTTGGATTTGACTTTTACTCAGCTCAAATTGAAATTAGGTCAACTTATAGCCAAAATTTAATTTGGATTTGATAATTTTTATTCGAATTTGAACCGGGCTTAGATCGGCTTAAGCTTTAGTAATTCACCTATTTATATGATATCATTCTGTCTAAATCTACTAGGTCATGTATGGTGCACGTGTACCTTGATTTGTTAGAGAATTAAAATAAGACGAATAATATACTCCTCCATATTTAGAATTATGAACATACACATTCATCATTGTTTGTAAATAAATATTTTTTTTATTATTATGAAATATTTAAAAGCATATCTAATTTGCGGCATGATGGTAAAAGGGTAATTTTTTTTTAGAAAATAACTGTCAGATATAACATTATATTCAGCATTAAGGTACCAAAAATTAATTAAATCTTCACTTATTCATCCTACTTAATTAAATCGACTAAATTTATAATTCGTTTTTCTTTTTTTTTGTTTAAGTTAAATAATGTTTATAGCTGAATTAAAACGATTGTTGGGTGTAGTCTAATTTTATGATGCTAAAAAATATATAACTCAAATTAAATTAACTAACTTTAGCACATATTAATATAAATTATATCTCTAATTAAAAAAAAATATGTATTACAAAATTGTGCGGGAAGTTTAATAATTTAATGTATTTTCAATAAACTTAATAACTAACTAAAAATAAATTATGAAAAAATCTAAAATTAAGACAAATTTATTTGAACTTAATTAAAATGTCATGTTGTCCTAGTGGTTAACAGAATTATCTTTCAATCAAGATGATTTGGGTTCAAGGACTTGTACATGGTGTGCACATTTGCATGTGAGTGTCAAAAAAAAATGAAAAACTAAGGTTCCGGTTGGGACAACTTATAAGTGCGAGCGGTGTTTTCAAAAGGCCGCCGTACTGTTTGGTTCGCACGTTTCACCAGTTTATCCGAAACTAAGTTTGAGTTTTTATATTAAACGCAGGCCACGGGTCGACCCCTGCGGTCGGCCCGCGGGCCACGTTTCAGGATAAGCAGTTTATCTTGAAATGCACAAGCTGCTCCAAACGGACCCTAAGAAAACTATTAAATGTTTGAATTGCATATGGAATTAAAGAATGCTTTTTCAATTTAATTTAATTTTAGGGAAATTTATATACATAGAACATAGTTCATACTTATTTAAATTATCATATTTACATATATGGACTTTGGTTTTTCAAAAAAAGGTGTATGTCACTTTTAAAAAGTATGATAATATTAAAGATTTGAGAGATATGTGTGTAAATATAAAAAATTAGGTGTGACAGGTATGTAAATACTTAAGAACTGTGTGCTGTATACATAAATAACCCTTGATGTTAATTTAATTGTAATTAAATACTCAGGCTGTTATGATGTGACATGTGCCGAGCGTATGAACCGTCGAAACTTCTCTGAAAAAGCCAATTCTCCCTGATCCTTGTGGACCCCTTGACTGCCGCCGTTTCCGGGTTTTTAATTGCAGGGCCGGATGGCGTCACGTGCTACGGCATATTTTTACTAGCTGAAGCGGAATGTACACCGTCCATTTCGTTTTCTAAATCATATATATATATATATATATTGAAAAATAAGATCTAAAAGATAATTAATATATATGATTGTAATGTTATGATGCTATGTGAAAAGATTCACTAGAGTAATAATTTAAACTCTTAGCGTTGGTATTAGATCCAACACACAAATAAAATAATAGGAGAATACACAATTTTTTTGTGGAAAACTCTTGAAAGGGAAAAAAAATCACGGCTAATTCAATTGAAATAATTCACTATGTAATCATCAATACATAAATTCACTCTTCTATTGAAGTAGAGAAAATGAAATTACAATGTTGGTGTACAACATTAGTGCTAATAGTTGTAATAGGCCGTAAAAGCCTTAGTTGATTGCTAAAAAAGCAGCAGTCTGCTATGAATATTGTAAATGATAGTTACAACACCAAATAGTTGTAAAAGCCGTTGTTGAAAGCTATTGCAGTAGTCGGTCATGTAAGTCGTAGATGGTTGCTTCAGAAACATCGGTTGGTTATAAAGGTCATAGTAGGGGAGATATAGGAGTTGTGATCCACTTAGGCCATAGTTGGTCCGTATTGTTGAGTTGCAATGATGTTCGTAGGCCGTGGAGACGAGAGTTGAGAGCCACATAGGTTGTGAGCCACGTAGATCATAGTGGTGTGACAATAATATGCGTTGACCAAAGAGACCGGAGTTGAGAGCCACATGAGTTTTGATAATGTGCATAAACCACAGAGTCCGGAGTTGGGAGTTTTATGAGATATTAACCACGTAGGTTGCAGTGGTCACATAAGCTATAGTAGAGAGTTGCAATAACGTTTGTAGGTCATAGAGGTCGGAGGTGGTGATCGCATTAGCCGTGGATCACGTAAGCCGTAGTAGAGAGATGCAATAACGTTTATAAGGCACAAAAATCAGAGTTGGGAGTTTCATGAGCCGTGGATCAAGTAGGTCGTAGTTGGTCATGAAATGATAGCCACGTTTTAATCAGTTCTATGTGAAAGATTGAAGGTGAGGGATGTGGCGTAAGGAGAGTTAGCTACTATTCTAGTTTATAGACAAATGATTTAGGCTGAAAATAGTGACACTATAAGTATATAGTTTATGAAGATCATGAGAAAATGTTATGGCATATGCAGCGATAGTCATGAGGAGGGTTTGTAGTTTGATATAATGAGCGAGATGAAGTTAAATATTATGTTTATTCATAGTTCGATGAAAGTATATGTGCATATTTTATAGGTGAGAGCTTCATGTGATATTTTGCATATGAAGGCTAATACTTACATTTTATGGAATGGAGTAAATCAAATAGCTACGATTATGGCTCTCAAGTTCTGCGGGTGAAGAGTGAGATACATACAATAATGATTAAGTATTTTGGATGCGAGAAAATTTTTTTTTGCATAAAAGTGGTGTTATATTTTCTTATAGTCTATAGCTATAAAATAGATCTTATAAGTGTAGGTTTTTAGCTAGTCTCGTGGATTGGGTTAATAATGCAGGATTATTGAATGAGGAAATACAACGCAATTTTTACGCAAAAAATTAGTAGCCCTTACTATTTTGCATATATTTTAAAAGTAAAGCTTAAGATGTAGTAGCCCTTACTATTGAAGTATAAATTGCATAATAATGATCATATATTAAGGTGATTGAAGGTTAATGGCAATAGAAAGTCCAAAGTATTGTGTTGGCTTATGGTTTTTAATTCATATAATTTAGAATATGCAACTCTTAATTATTGCAAGTGACACTAGAAAAAAGAGCTACCAATCTAGCCATTTTAATTTAGATGATTTTTATATCCCTATGCTTGAAATCAAGCATCAATTTTTTTTTTTTTAATTAGTAAGCAAAAATTAATTATTCTAATGTATACTTGGAACAATGTTTAATCGATTAGACCTTATTTACTGCCTAAACAAATTTTCGAGCCTCCTGTATTGCGACCTTTATCTGCACCAGGTGGTTAGCTTAGCTGATATTTTCGTCAAGAGGGTGGGCCAATATCACTATCTAAGCCCGAGGTGGGCCGATCATATTTTTAGAGATTGGGTCCAGTGGTCTGAGGGCCCGCAAGTATGGGCGTTGGGCCACCACCTTCGGCAACGATTCAGGGGGTAGGAAGATATGTTGGGCTGATTTGACTTAAAATGAGTCGATCTAATTAAAGTTAAAATTAAAGATTTTAAATTTAGCTAAAGTAACTTATTTTCAGTCAAATTTTAAGTTGATTCGAGTAACTATTAATATAGCATATATTAATTATTCATGTTTATTATTAATAGTAATATAGTAAATATAGATTTATAAATTTGTATTTGTAAAATAATACTACATAATATGGGAGATTTGCATACATACCACTCCATTCTTATGTATTTACATATCTAACAGCTAAAATTTAATTTTTACATTTCACCTTAACATATCTTATGTAGGAAATGTATATTTCATATTTTGTAAGTTAAAAAGAATATTATTTTTGATGTGATATGAAAGATTTGGGTGATCTAGATGTTAGATATGTAAATACATAAGAATTTGGTGGTTTTTATGTAAATGCCCCTGGTATTGGAGGGATTATTGCGTGCGGACACCGCATGCATCCCTGCACGCGGTGGCCGGTCTCCGATCCTGACCGTAGATCACGGTGATCTACGGTCAGAATTATTTCCGTTTTTTTAAAAAAAAAAATTTCAGTGGGGCCCACCGAAATACATCGGGACCGTAGATCAGGTGATTTACGGTCCGGATCAGACACCGCACGTCTGATCCGTGTGGAATAATTTTTCCAAAAGGCGGAGTACAAATTAAGAGAAAAATTGGGTCAATACATCGTGACTGAATTCTTGTCCAAATGAACCACAAATCTCTCTTCTTCCTTTTTTACTTTTGTATTGGTTTTTCTTTCATGTTTAGGGGCTTCTGCCCCCTCTTTTTTCACATGGATACTTTCCCGACTCTTAGTTCTTCTTTTTCTTATTCTCTTCTTGGCTCTAGTCTTATTTTCAATTGGAAGAGGCTTATCTCTTCTAATATTACTAGTTCTGCTAGTTTTAATTAATCAAATGCTCCAAGTTCGTTAGTTCAGTTTTCTTCCTCTGATCAAGTTCTTGATGGCTCAAAGCAATCCACTCTATCTTTGGTTGGGCATGCGATTGACATGCGTCCCTTGTACGATAATGTGCAGCAAGTTGTTGCTAGAATTTGAAAATTGGAAGGCGCAGTAGAACTTCTATGTTTATGTGAAGGTGTTTTTCTGTTTAATTTTAACTGTGCGGGATTTCAACATGATTTTGGCTAGTGGATCGTGATTTATCAACATTAAATCATTCATTTTTTTAAAAATGGTCATATGATTTTAAACATGTCAAAGCATATTTAAAACAATATATATCCATTTGGATAAAATTTCTTGATTTGCCACTTTTTTTGTTGGAATGAGTTTGATTTTCTAAAATTGCAAGCCGGGTTGAAGTTCCATTAGCCATTGATTCTTTAACATCTAAATTTTCTAGGCTGTCTTTTGCGAAAGTTAACATTCAGATAAGTATAAGTTCCTCTTTTCTCGATTTCATTCCTCTGGATATTAAAGAGTTTGACTTTTAATTTACCTGTAATATACGAATGGAAGCCTACACCTTGTTTTATTAATGGTTGGTTTTTTACTCAAAATTGAAATATTCTTACTTATTGTTTATTTCTTATTTATAACATCCCTATTAGTGATGATCTTATTAGTTATCTTTGGAAGTGTAAATGAATTCTATAGTAATAAAAATATTTATCATTTCTTTATGAAACTCTGGCTATTTGAGATTGAAATAGATTAGTTTGACATTAAAACTGTTCTATTAATTTTGCTTTGATTTCTTGGAGAATTTTTAATACTGATCTTAAAAATAATAATCTTCTTAACTCTAGGGGTTTTAATTCTAGACTTAGAGTTTGTTTGGGAGAAACTGCCACTGCACCTAGATAGGTGCGGTGTGAAAACACTGTTTTCAACGTTTTGAAAATGCATAAACTGTCAAAACACAGTTTACCCAAACAAACAATGTGTGCTTTCAAAACGTCACTGCATCAAATAAGCTACCCCAATTGGGCTCTTAATTACTTTATACGTCTTAATGGTTTAGAACACAATAAACATTTATTTATTAAATGATTTTTTCCCCCAAAGTTTATTGAAGAATTATATTCTTATTGGGTTATTTTCATTATTGTCAATAGCCTTTTTCAAGTTTTTTATCATATTGAGAGAATTAGTTGCATATTTTAAAAGTGATTTTAAATTTTAGCAATTTAAATTATTGCTTATGAAATCTGATTCGAAATGAATAATATAATTTTTAATAACTCTATTAACTCCCATGATATTATTTATTTATTGAAGAATTCGTTGAAAGACTAGTTGCATTATTTTATTGTGGCGTATATTTATTATTTTTTTTTTCTTTCAATAAAATTAATTGCATACTTCCCTTTTATAAAAAAAAAAAAAAAAAAAAAAAAAAAAACCGGGGGCGGTTCATAGGTTCAGACACGTGGCGCTCTGCTTATCGTCCGCTCCACTATGTCGCCGACCAGGCGATAACTACGGCGAGTCACGTGCGTCTCTACACGTGTCGAAAACCTACACCCAACCTTTAACGCCGTTACATCTCAATCCCCCACTTCGCCGTTAGGAGTGCCATATAAAACAGCAACTCACGAGCGAGAAAAACTCACGGCATTCTCTCATCTCCCTCCTCGAACTTCAGTAGTGACAATGAGAGCGGCGATCCTCAACCGCACGGCATCCATGTCAACCGTGAGAGGTATCTCCGGGGTTTGGCCGACGAAACCGGCCGGCGGGCATGACGCTGGATTATCCTTTTATCGCCGGAGCTCGACCCATAGAATGCCTCTCGACGTGAGGCAGAGGAGAAACTTCTCTTCGTCGGCTGTAAAGCCGAATCAACTTCGGCGGGTCAGATCTGACACTGATCTCTTCTTATCATCTCCCCAGAGCTTCCGAGGAGAAACATGGCCGCCGTCTGCGTTGCTTGCCTCGGTGGAGGAGGACGATCTGTGCGCGGGAGTTGTGGCGGTCAAAGAGAACAACGAAGTCGAGTATTCCGGCGGATCGGGGAAAGGAAAGGGAAGCAAGAGCAAGGGAGGAAGCTTTGGTGACGGCGGGAACGAGGAGAAAACCAGAAATCGGATGATCGAGAACCATTATCAGGAGATGCTGAGGGCGGATCCAGAGAATCCGCTGCTATTGAGCAATTACGGAAGATTCTTGCACGAGGTAATAGAAAAAAAACGAAGTAAAGAATCGGAATCCCAATCACCATTTCGGAATCCTGATTTAGGTTTTTTTTTTTTTTTTTTGGCTTTTAAAATGGAAGGTTGGAGGGGATTTAAAGAAGGCTGAGGATTGCTACGGGAGGGCGATCCTTGCCTGCCCGGATGACGGTGAAGTGCTCTCGCGGTATGCTCGATTTATTTGGGATACTCAGAAGGACTGCGAGCGAGCCGAGGCCTATCATGAACGCGCCGTGGAGGCCTCCCCTGATGATTGGTACTCTCTCTCTCACTCTCTCTTTCTCTGTCACAACAATCACAGGCTTTTGTAGAAAATAAATTTGTGATGGGGTGAGTGTTTTGGGCAGCTATGTGCTGGGGTCCTATGCGCATTTTCTATGGGACGCAGAGGAGGGCGAAGGGGAGGGGATGGTGGGTTCGTCCTCGCCATTTGTGGAAGTCTGCTGAGGATAATGGATGACGTCGATCTGATCTTTATGTATATACTTGGAAGAAACTACTGTATATTAAGAGCTTATGATCACGTTTACATATGGAGGAAGTAACTGACAGGATCAAGGCTGCAATGGGTAGGGGAAATTGGATCTGAAAGGATGATCATAGCCGCTGGATCCGCTCAGGTTTTTAAAGGAATGATAATTTGCTTCAGATGTATGATCAATATTTGAGAGGATGAATTTTAGAACTATGAGATTTGTTTTAAGATTTAAAAAAAATGAAGGGAAATGTCTAATGATTGTAGGATTCAATCTGTAACGAATGGAGGAGCTACTGTCGGGCTCAAAATTTGATTAGAAACTGTTTTCTTCCTGTTGAGAGGAGTGATGATTGTGAATAACTGAAATATGAGTTGATTTTGAGTTGGAGCTGCCATTTTGGAATACCGAATGGTCATGTAGCCGTTGCCGTTTGCTTAACTAGGGGTGTAAACTCTATATTTATTGAATCTATGCTCGCTCGTGTTCGGCTAGTTTATATTTCGAACTCAGAAAGTGTGTTCATGTTCGACTCGTTTGCTTAACGAGCCGAGCATGAGCCGTTCACAAACAAGGAGTCATTTTGACAACCATAATCATGTAGTCATAATATGTTAATGATTGCTGCAAGATTTAAAACATCATTTGAATCTAATTTAATATTTTTTATTCTATTTTCTTGATTAATAATATTAATTGATTATAAATCTTTATAGCGTTTTAGTCAATTAATTTTTTAAAAAATACTACTCAATATATATAATATTTCGAGCTAAAACGAGCCGAACACGAACGAACAAATATTTATCATGTTGTTCGTGTTCGGCTCGTTAACTTCGCGAACAAAACACGAGCTTCTTAACGAGCCGAACACGAGCTATTCGTGAACAACGAGCCGATTTGACAGCCCAGACAATTATTAAAATTAAAGGGGGCATTTTATATTCTTAACTTATATTTTTTATATATTTAATACATAAACCTTTGTTTTTTACCGGCATAATTTTCACAGTTTCAATTTCATATAAAAATATCGACAAATTTTTCTGTCTCTTTTGGGAGGTGATAAGTGGTATCAGAGCAGACTACTGTCTGCCAGGTGTGTGGACTCTCCATGGTCCAGTGGGATTCTCAGTGAAGCCGATCCGTGACGAGGGCGTCACTTGATTGAGTGGCGGAGAATGTCACGGACAAATAGTCTCACATCGGCTAGGTGTAGGGCCGAAAAACAGTATTTAAGTCCTGGGCTGCCCCCCACCCATAAGGGCTCTTTTGGGATGTGTGACAAAAGAGAGTCCGGACGTGCGGACAACGGTCGTGATGCGGCGATACAGCAGAGGTGGTCGCGATGCAGCAGAGGATCGGACCTCCGCTGTATAGCCGCATCGCGTCCGTTGTCCGGACTCCGGACAGAAAAATCACTCACTATTGATTTTTTAAAAAGAGAAATACACATGTTCAAGCTTATATATAAAGTTGCATAAATTTTAAGTGCTAAATATATAAATGCATAAGAATTACGTGGTATTTATGTAAATCTTCAGGAAAAAATTTAAATAATTGACTGACTGCACGGATGATTGAACGATGGATGAACAATTATTTATGGACTTCAGTTGAGTAAATACTTAATGCGTGGAAATTAGTTTACGTGATGAAATATTTTATAAATTATTATTAAAATTTTAAATTTAAATTCAGTCTACATTAAATCTATATCTAGGCAATGATAATTATATTGTCGACCAAGCTTAATTAATAAATTATTTAATGTTAATAATTTAAGTCTTTATTCATTGGTTCATATAAACTGATTAATGTATTTCAATTAAAATTGATAAAAATTCATGAAATAATATTTATTTTGTTTAGTAAAATTTAAAGATTTATCAGAAAAAAGAAATTTAGTTTATTATATGTTGAATTCTTAGTTTGAATAATTAATAAATAATTTATCCTTTTGAAGAAATTGTATATATAAATATGTATTGATATATTTTTTTTATTATCTTGATTGAGCAAGTAGCTAAGAGTAGTTGGGTTTGCCTTATCCATGTATTTTTTTTTCCAAATTAATACAATAAAAAATTGTACCCATACTTAAAAAATTGATTTTTTTTTTTTTATTTTAAAATTCTCTCTTATTTGACCAATGTTGAGTTGATCCGGATTGATTTATTGCAATTCATGCATTCTAACAAAATTTAATTCGATGATGAGAAATATTCATATTTTCTAATTAATATTTTTGCAGTGATAAATAATAAGGAACCTTTAGTTGGCTGCATGAATTCTTCTTTGTCCATTAAGTTTATTGTGTGCCATTGTCATTTAATTCTAATAAATTAAGATACATTTTTTATATAACATCCCCAGATCTTTCTAAGCCAACCTCTGTCTTTCTTAGCATAAGTCAATCTAAAACATCTACTCTCCTAATCAAATTATCAAATGGTCGACTTTTAATGCGACTAAAATTATCTTAAATGACTGATTTTGTCCACAACCCCATAACGAATACATTCATATTACATTGTAAATCTAAGATACAGGATTTAAAAGGATTTTGAATAGCTTTGATTGCAGAGAAAAGAAACTTATATAATGTCATTTACATACATACCGAACAATTCTTAAGAATTCATATACCTAACACCTAAACTTTCATTTTTAACCCGCACAACATTCCAATCTTTCATATCAAATAAAAAACATCACTATCACAATATTTATATAAGTAAAATAAACTTGTTCTTAAGCAGTTAAAATGTTTTAAATGTAAATATCAAACTTTAAAAGCTAGATATGCAAATACATTAGAATTTTGTGTAATGTTCATAAATTTTCCATATATATATATGCATCTCAATAGCTTCATTCACATGACATTTCTTAAGTTAGGGTTACCTCCTTGATGTTGACTTGTAAGACATTTGTAAAAGTATAGGAATCACTCTTAACAGCATGAAAAAACCACACATCATCACATCCTCAATAATAGATCTTCAAGTCAATGTCAACATATCAGTTAAGGAGGAACAGCTGTAATAATAATAATAATATTATTATTATTATGCCCCACCAAAGATTTCATTTAATTTGAATTTTAAATTAGTAAAACTTACAGGCATATCACACAATTCTTATGTATTTGCATACATACCACCTAAAGTTTGACATTGACATACACTCTGTTCCCATAAACTTATGCATGAAAAGCTGTATTTCAGCTTTAAAAAGTTAGTAATGATATATTTTTAATGGGATAAAAATTTTAAGAGTTATGTATGTAAATATAAAAGATTTTAAGTAGCTACATTAAGGATTGTGTGGTATGTATCCAAAATCCAAATACCCCTCCTTGTTAGTATATAAGAACTGCTTCATTTCTCTCATCAGTAAATCAACTATCCACATTTCTCATATTTATAGTTTAAAGCAGAATGAACGAATAAATTAAACTTTCATCTCAGTACCTGAGGATGAATAAACAAGGAGTTGATTGCAGGACAGGATGGCATGTACAATGAGCGGCTTGGAATATTAACACTTGATACCTGACACCACATAGTAGAGAAGCTGGCCAGTTATGAAACTTAGAAGTTATATACAGAAATTGAAAGAAGAAAAAAAAAAATAAATGAAAATCAGAATGTGGTTGGGGTATCAGTTAAAAATGAGCTTGGAGTTAGCTTCACATTCTGCCATCTTATTCTTGCTAAATAATGTCGGTGTTACCGAAACGATACCGATAAGGAACAGAGTTGCTACGGATTGGAAGTCATAGAGGTCACCAATTGATTTTAGTTCTCCCAGGGCAATTCCGGCCTGCAATGAAAAATGTGAGTTAGGAGACACTATTTAGGGAAATTTACATACCTCGCAACTAAACTTTCATATGCATCATAAAATGAGTATTTCACATTTAAAGAGGGGTAATAGTGTTATTTTTTTATGTGATATTAAACATTTGAGTGTCATGTGTGTAAATATGATGAAAGAGGGGTAATAGTGTTATTTTTTTATGTGATATTAAACATTTGAGTGTCATGTGTGTAAATATGGAAGTTTAGTTGCGGCTGCGTGAGATGCGTAAATACATAAAAATTGTGTATCAGAAATGAACAATGAAAAGCAGAGGTGAATGATACCCTGACTGTGACATAAGCAGCAGGTATGAGGCCAATAAAGGTTGCTAAAAAGAATATATGATAGGGAACATCTACTATTGGTGAAGCTACATTGATGAAAGTGTTTGGCAAGGTAGGTGTGACTCTGAGGAAAAGCATGTAGTTCAGTAATTTTTCCCTTCTTTTAGAGACCTGCAGAAATTGAGAAAAAGAATATGAGAAAAAACATGCTCAGCGTTGATCTTAAGATTGATTATTAAACTGCTCAAATAAAAATATTGAAATATTTAACGAATCATGTTTAAAGTTTAAGGGATATTTTTAAGAATTTCGCAGTGTGTTCACGAACTTGGACGATAGATGTTATTGTGACAAATAGAAAGTTATTATTTCACAAACTAAAGGCACATTTTTGAAAATAGTAGGGGAAAAAGAAAAATAAATTATTTAGTTCGATGAATTTGTGGTGTAAAATAAATCAAATACAGAGGCTTTCAAAATTAAATGTTTGGCTGGGTGAAAACAAAATGCAGCATCAAAGTTTGAAGAACTTAGAATTCCCCTTACAGTTCAAAACTTATGTATTTTGAATTAATTAGATTTGGGAGATTTTCAAAAGATTTTCAAATAAACTATAAACTATGGGCCATCGTCGACAGCCTGCACGCGACAAACTTCATCATCTGCCCACCGCCTGCCAGTCATCATCCCTCATCAGCTCCCACCGCCACCATTGTCTATCATGTTTTATATTGATTTCATTTTTCTTTTAAATATAAAATTTAAACTCCAACATTTATTTTGCATCAAACCAAACAACTCCATAGCTTTTCAAATATAACATATTTCAATTACACTGCATTCATTTTCACTAAACCTACAGGCCCTAAGTTGATTGTTTTCTCTACACCTGTTCATGAGTGAGAAAAACATCGTACAGAGAAATGTTCCCATTTCTTGTATTTTCATTTACCCTCATTAAGAGAGAGAGAGAGAGAGAGAGACAGACACCAATATTTACCTGTGCTTGGAAATATCCAAGTTTGTCTGGCCATAGTGAGAAGGCAAGGGGCCTTCCTATCAACTTCGATAGAAAATAACATGATGATGCACCAGCAGTGGCAGCAAAAACCACCAAAGCCACGCCTCGAAACACTCCAAAAAGGGCACCAGCAAGCAGGGACATGAAAATTGTCCCTGGAATCATGAATGTTTGCATGAAGATGTAAACTGAACAATAACCTATCAAAACTTGAATAGTGTAGTCACTAGCGTAGCTCTCCAGATGGTCCCTGCAAAAATTAAACAATGCCCAACCTAAACTATCGATTCATGCTTTGCACAAGTTAGGGCAATAGTTGAACAAAATTGCAGTAAAATGGAGCAAAACTATTCATCATTCATGCGCACTTATAAAACAATATCAATTGCAGTGGAGTAACTAACTATAACAAACAATAATCACAAAGCGCAGAAAAACTCCAGAAGAATTATTATGTTAAGTATGAGAAACCAAGGCAAACTCTCTTGTAAATCATTTGCAGAGAAACTAATTGTACCATCTCAATTACAAAGCAACATTCTAAGAGCTCATAATGAAAGAAAAATTAATGCAACATTAAATTTTAAAATTGAACAACTTTGATTAAAAAAATTTTACATGCTAACGCGACAAGATGCCCGAACTACCCCAAATGTTGTAGAAGGTATGTTTACGGCCTTATGCCATTTAGCTACAACATTACTTGCGTAGGTCCCATGAATTATTTAATGTCTAGTCTTTGTTGGGTCTATCAATTGAACAAGTAATCTTAAATTCTAGGATGCATATGAAGCTTCCTACTATAAAATTGGAAAGTATGAAGGCTGCTACACTTATATTAGTTGATTGTGATGTGATTATCATTGATAGACATCTATCTTTTTTTTTGGTTATTCCACCATCCAAGGGTTTTGATATTATGTTTGGCATCACATTTCGCCGCAATTAATTATTTTAGAAATGTGTTGTTTTTTTGCCTGCAAAATCTAAGATTTACAGTCATGGAATTCAGCACAAGACTCCCTCACTGATATCTTATACTCAAGCTCATAAGTGATAACAAAATGCATATCATACTTTTTTTTTGTCCTTTGAGATGGATTCTAAATCAAAGACTAAAAACTTGGAGTACCTCCATCCATCAAAGAATTGTCATGAGGTTTTTAAGATGAGTTGTTGGAACTACATTTGAATCAAAAAGTTCCAAGTTTTTTATTGACTTAACCTTGGGACCATGCTTATATTTAAGGCACAATATAAAATGGTCATAGCTAAATTATGGGAGCTTAAAGCTTAGTTGGAAGAAGAATGTGCTTGTTGTGCTTATACACACACACACACACACAATTAGACACACACACACACACACACACAACACAATAAGATGTTTTCATATTCTATTGGAACTACATTTGAATCAAAAAGTTTCAAGTTTTTTATTGACTTAACCTTGGGACCATGCTTATATTTAAGGCACAATATAAAATGGTCATAGCTAAATTATGGGAGCTTAAAGCTTAGTTGGATGAAGAATGTGCTTGTTGTGCTCATACATACATACATACATACAATCAGACAGACAGACAGACATATACACACAGACACACAGACACACACATACAATCAGACAGACAGACACAGACACAGACACAGACACAAATACATATAAATAATAAAATGTATGAATAAGATGTTTTTATATGCTTATTCAAAATTATATTTATTTTGTAATTCTAAATAAGATGTTTTCATACTAAATACATAATCTTGCAGCTGTTCATATGTGTTTATTAAACTAAAATCAATTTCTTTCATATCTAATTTGATCTTATATCTTCTAATTCAGATTGTATAGAATCAAAATCATCTTCCGATTCATTTCTAATTTGTCTATGTTGGTTAATCTAAAAATCTCATATTAAATGTTTCATCTTAATTTTCGTAAGTAATTTCATTTGGTACTAATATGGACTATTCTAAAATGTATTAACACTCCATTCAGTACTTGCATATATCTCTGAACTAAATTTTTTATCTGCTATTGCTTTAATACATTGGCTTGCTAACATTAATTCTATTTCTTCATTGTTTAATTCAAATTTAACATTGGAATGTTCCTGCATTTTTCCTATGAGTCCTATAGTTATTCTAAGATTTAACGATCCAGCAATCATATTATAACTTTTAGTCTTGATTCATATCTTCAAATGTTGTACACATTCTCTAGTATCCATAATAAAATTTGGAACAAAATATATGATGGCTCTATTATCATTCATGTCTATTTCAAATGATTCGATTATTGATTTTGTTAAATCACTCCATCGATTATCTAATAACACTACCAAAGCCTCTGTTCCTAAATTTTTTCCTATGCAGACCTTTAACTTCAATCATAATCAATCCTATATGTAATTGTGTCATCCTTTGTTGCCTAATCTGTTCTCAATTGTCATTTACTATTATTGGTAAACTTAACTGATCTAAATCTAATACACAACTTACATTTTGTTCAGCTATTGTTTGTATTATAGATAATCTAGATAGTAGAGAATTTTCATACATTTTATTTTTTATTTTTACTAAGTCTATTTTCTTATTATTAAACATATTCAATTGTGATTTAATATCTACTATTTCAGATATTTTCCTATCAAATTTAGTTGGCTTTTGCTTAAATAAAGATATATGTTTTTCACCTCCTACCATGATTTATAACTTATTGGTCTATATAGAATAATTTCTTTTCCTTTGCTAGAGATAATATTTATTTTTTCTTCTATATTTTTTAACTTATCTTAAATAGTTATTATTTTTTCATATAGTTGTATTAACATTATTATTTGGAAATTTAATATTTTAGGATATCTTTTATCACTACCCTGCATTCATGAGTAATTTGTTAATCCTAATGCTTCTTCATGAGTAAAGATTCAATCTTTTATAAATTTGAAAATCTTCAAACTTATTTATGCTAGAATTATTCTAAAAGTAAAGATTCAACCTTTTTAATTTTCTCATTTTTTATTTCTAAAATATTTTTAGATTACTTAGGTTCTTTTAATAAAGTTTCTATTTTAGAGATTAATAATTCTAAGTTTTTCTGATATATCCAAATTTTCTTTAATATATCATCATTTTGTTTCTTCATATATTCTAAATACAATAATGAAGCATGAGATCAACATTAGTTTGACGGCCTTGATGATATTGAAATATATAATATCGAAAATGTCATGGAGACATAATAAGTGAAAGTTAAAATTTTTTACTATTCATTTTTTACCAGCACGAAAAATAACTTTTTATCAGTCTTGACATCTACTTTTACCATGAGAATATTCTTCTTCTAGATTATGGTGACTTAAAACAACTTTTGGAATTATTGGCTACATTTTCCAAGTTATAATTAATGGTACCATTAAGTAAAGCTTATGATTGTGGATTAAAGAATAAAAATAGAAAAGGTTAAGACCTAAATTTGGATAGGATTAGACTCATATGTTGAAGTTCAAAAAATAAAACATGTGTTTTAGATTATGTCGGTCTTCACCAAACTGCATTTCAGAATATACATTTTACCTAATATACAGTCTATCATAAAAATAAAACATGTGTTAGTCTAAAGGCCTTCGTTTAAGTAGAACTAAAACTGAATATATGGAATGTAATTTTAGTAGTAATAGCTCTAGTGACAGAAGTGTGACTTTGGGTGATCAAATTATTAAAAGGTGTGAACGATTTAGATATCTTGGGTCCGTTGTCCAAAGCGATGGTGATATAGATGGGGATGTTAATAGTAGAATTCAAGTTGGTTGGTTGAAGTGGAGGAATGCTTCGGGCCTTTTGTGTGATAGAAAAGTACCGCTAAGACTGAAAGGAAAATTTTATAAGATGGTGGTGAGACCTGCAATGCTCTATGGCGCTGAATGTTGGCCTTTAAAAGAGAAACATAATAATAAGTTAAGTGTTGCCGAGATGAGAATGATTAGGTGGATGAGTGGCTTTACACTTAGAGACAAAATGCGGAATGAATATATTCGTGATAGGGTTGGTGTAGCTCCTGTGACAGACAAAATTAGAGAAAGTCATCTTAGATAGTTTGGTCATATTAAACGTCGACCATTAGATGATCCGATTAGGAGAGTAGATGTTTTAAATTCGACTTGTGTTAAGAAAAACAGAGGTAGACCTAGGAAGACTTGGGCTTATTGTATTAAAAATGATCTTAATTTACTAGAACTAAATGAAAATATGACACTAAATAGGACGCAATGGAGAAAAAGGATTCATGTAGCCGACCCCACGTAGTGGGATTAAGGCTTTGTTGTTGTTGTTGTTGTTGTATACAGTCTATCATAAGAGTACTCAGATGTATAAAAATCTTAGAGGGCTATTTTGGTGGTTGGGGATGAAGAAGGATATTGAAAGTTTTTTTAATGAGATGCTTGACTTGGAAAAGAGGTAAGTAAAATAAATAAAGAGCTAGGAAATGTGTGAATCTTTGCCTATTCTGAAATGGGAATGAAAGCAAATCATTATAGATTTCATGGTGTGGTTGCTGAATCTTTTCAGAGGAATGATATAGGTTAGGTGATCAATAGCATACATCATCTCACTCCTTACTTATTGAGAGATTTTTCATTGAATAAATTGACAGGCATTTATAGGGATAATACTAATAATGTCCATTGTTTATGATTTGTATGATGTTTCTTATGCATTGCTAGAGAGAAGAGGAGTAATTTATCAATCCCATATGATTCAACATGAGCGACAATTAACTTGAGAGCATCAAAGTTATGAGAAAGTACTAGAACACATCCTTAATTGCCAGGTTCATTAACAAAGAGGATTTTGTGAAATGTGATTGAGGCTACTTGGGAGTCAGAATGGATGTGTAATTGACCCTCGCTTATTCAAAAACTAAAAGTATGATTCTATAAATGTATTGACTTTGAATTTGGGAACAAATCTCTTTTAGGTGGATAGAATGTATTTAAAACAATTTTAAGAAGATGAAATTGAATTAATTTGGCTCAACTAAACAATGCCAGAAAGAGGGATGGGCAATTCTTTGAGATAAAAGCACTTGCCACTTTGCTTATCGATAGGGCAGTCAAAACGGCTCTTTGTTCGCGAACAACTCGTGTCGGCTCGTTCGCTAAGTTAACAAGCCGAACACGAACAAAGATTTGTTCGTTTGTGTTCGTCTCATTTTGATTCGAAATACTAATCATCAATTTTATA